ATAAAAATTATTACTGAGGCTTTCAATTTAAAAAAGTCACTGGATTTTCCCCCCAAATAGTTCAATAACTGAGAGCAATCGGTTCTCCCTGAATTGTTAGGAAAAGATTTAGAATTAGGTGTGAGCTCCCATAAAATTTCGGATTTCATTTGTTGTATCGTCGACTATTGTTAATTATTCCGGCTTCCGAGGTATTTCCGGCTGTTGGGATTGTCCAAGGGATTCTGAGAAGACGAGGAAATGAATTTCAAAGCAAACCGCATGGGAAGTACTGAATTATTTAATGATTTAAGAGTACTGTTCGTGCGGTAGTCTGAATGAGAAAATTCCCTTGGAATTGTTCTGGGGACCTGGTCATTTATTCAAATTGACACCGAGCCTCGGAGAGGGCCTTAATGCCCCCAGGTAGACGCAACCCCCCAGACAGAGCCCTCAACCCCAAGACCACAGCAATAATCGATTGTCTCTCCAGGTCTAGACCCCCATTGATACCAAGTGTAAACAGACGTCTACAATCATGAAAAGTCTCGGGGAGGAGCTCGTCGACGATTTTTCACCTTCAACCTTGCCTCGGAATTATGCAAGACCGAAATCCGAAACCCAAAATCGTAAATTCAGGAATTCGCGAGGTTGTGAGTAAAAATTCAAGGGGCGGAGACTGGTGATTATTTTTTTACGGCTTTGGTATTTATTTTCTTTTCTTTTTCCATCTTCACCAGAGAAATTTCTACCGTTTTGAATTTTTTAACGCATTACACGTGAATTCCGGCATTTTCAAATGGTAATTAGTAAATTTAGAAATTGAAGGGTTTGAGTGAATATTATTTGAAGCGTTCCATTTTCTCCCGCAATGTTATTTAAGTGAAATAATAAAATGGTCGTAAGGAGATCTCTGAAATAGTTAATCTGGCGTTGCGAGGAAGCCCCCGGGGTTGTACCTTAATTCATGTACTTCCTTCGGAGGCGCCCGTGCTCACAATGGAATTCTGGTGGCCCCGGGGGCCCAGGGGGCCCTGGCCGGCTGTCGGGCCCCGTGGGAAAGCCGAGCACGTGCGAAACCCCGAGGACCAGCAGCCTGTTTAGTTATTGTTCCATCGTCTTCACGTCCTCCCCCTTCAAACAGTAATCTAAGACGATCGCTCCCTCACCATCTCCAACCCACACCAACAAATATTGTTACGATACAAATGATAAAAATGCATCATCACGCACTACTGGCGAGCATTTTTTCACATGTCTCGTTATTTTATTGAGGGTGTCATTTGAGCTCTCATTATTACACTGCGATTTTTGTCTCGTCGTCGGGTTTAGGTCCCAGGGTGGCCAGACACGATAATTTTTCAGAGAAAATGGGGGAGATAATGAGCCCTGAAGTGTCTCTCCACTTAATGACGACGAGACACTCACTCCGAGTCGTAAACCAGATCTACCGGAATTTTTTAATCAAATGGCATTTTTTTTTTGGAACTTGAAGGAGATTTTAATTTCCTAATTATTGTGTTTTGAAAAAATGTCACTAGAATTTCGAAATTTGAATTGGAATTGAATCCGCGGAAAGAGGAAAAGCCTCGAGCTGTTATCATCGCCGTGGCGAATTTATCCAGTCTCTTGAAGAGGAGCGCGTGCCGTCTGCGAAGGCCACCGCGAGTACGTGCAATCACTCCTTGCCCTCCCCCACTCGTAATCACCAGAGCGATTTAAATTCGTGAAAAAAATATATATCCGGGTGATACACTCGCCCGTAAATACACATTCCACGGAAATCAGTTGGAAACTCACACTCACTCAACAAATGATTTTATAAAAGTATTTTTCCCACGAAATTGATAAAATGGGTGAGCCTGTCATATCATTACTTTTCGAATGCAATTTTTATTTCTTGAGGAGGATTCTGAGATTTTATTTGGAAGATTGCGGAATATTGGTGCACGTGGAGAAGTGGCGAGAATAATCAATGCAACTCATTGTATTGTGATTCGCACGAGCCTGGGAAGGCGATAGCACGTGCCGAACGATTAAATCATCGAGTGGGGATGAAAGAGAAACACTCAAAGGGCCATGTGTTTTCATTCCAGGTGAACTCGACTCCGTGGGAATGTCTACACGGCTCTTCACTCTTTAACGTCAATATTGCCCAAGAGATTCTTCAAATGGAGTTTTATTTATGAGTGACGTTCGAGGAGATATACCACTTGAGTAAAAAACAACGGCGTTGAGCAATTCCTGACTCAAGTTGCTGTCGAAAATTTTTGTATTCAAATAGAATGACTCGCCGTGAGTTGGGAAACAATTTGAGAATAAATCTGCTTGCTTTGGAATTTAAGAATTTATGAATTTTCCAAGCTCCCCTAAAATTCCCACTCGAGCGATATTGACAACATTGACAGCTTGAACTGATTTTAAACAAAAACGAAATTTACAACAGTAATTGTGTGAATTTCCATAGTGCTCCCGATTTTTATTATCCTGTTCCCCCAAAGTTGAAGATTTTCCGGATTTCTACTCAAATAATTCACCACAAAACCCTCAAGCCCTAAATTTTCCACAAAGCCACCGCAATCCAACTTTCATCCACCGACAACTCCGGTAAAACCAGAGTTGTAAGAATGACAAGTGCCCGTACAAATCCACAAGTAATTAAAAACAAAAATAAAGAGTACGGAAAAATATTGGACTTTTGAATAGAGCTGGAAATTCATACTTGTGACTTTTGTCCACGTCAAGAACAGAAGAACCTGAAGAATAGTATTACCCGGAGGAAGAGTATAAACCAGGGGATATCCGGGTGAGAGGCATTAAATGGTCAGTGGGCATTCCCACGGGGCACGAGCGGCATTATTAGGGCTCAAACAGCCCCCCTTTAACACCCCAAGTGGCCAGGGTTCCGATGGGTTCGACCCTTCTGGTTTGTTGTCAAATCGATCCCCCCTATCTCTTCAAGCCCGCATGATAATTCCTGGGGCTCTGACGCGTGCGAAACAATTTTTCAGTCATTTTGAGGGGTGAATTTTTCAACTATCCGCCTTTATTACATTTGACACGAGCCAAAATCTAACATATGTTTTTCACCCCGAACACATGGGCCACGTGGGAGAATTAATACGTTAAAATTTACCATTTCACCCACCTCAATTGACTTTTGCATATTTTTCGAATCATCGAATAAGAATTTATTGTATCCCAAATTTCCCAATTTATGAGTAAAAAAGATTTTTTGAATTAATCCCGAGGACATTTGCGGATAGAAAACTCGTAAAATCGTTTTTTTTTAATCGGAAATTTCCCTGTCGATCCGGTCGCCTCATCCTCGCAAGAAATAAATCTGCAATTAAAATGTAGAAAAATAAAGACTAGCATAACCCTCATCTCACGCAACACTAACTGCTGTTGACTCATTTTCTTCCTTCCGTCCAGCCTCCGCAATTCCACGTGTACACGGCACGTGTCCCCGACCCGCAACTACATTAAAATCCCACCTCTCCCTTCAAAATTGTAATCACCAATTACATAACATTTTGATTGCACGGTTGATTGAAGGAAAAATTTCAAAAATTACTACGAAACTAGCACGCAAAAGCGTAAAGCTATTAATCCTTACAATAATTCATAATTAAAACGTCATTAGAAAAGCCGATAACCCAGTATTTAATTTTCTCATTAACAGAATCCCCTAATTTTTAGTAAATGCTCTCCTAATCTATCAATATAGATTTTTTTCTCCATCTGTAATGCACGTGCGGGCAAATTGACTCCCGAGAGTCTCGAGTCGTGCACGTGGCACCCATTCACTTTGCACTACAACTCAGATGTTGTTTGAATGGCCAACAAGTTGTATTCATTACCCGACACTGTGTAATTACTCACTGAGTGTAAATAATTCCTCAAATTAATCGATCTACAGCGATATTGAATCGAACAGAAGGGAATAAATGATAAAATGGAGTGGATTTGCCGGTGTAAATCGACGTGAGGTCTCCGAGAACTCCCATTGCCAGGGGGAAAAACGATGAAATCCACTGTGTAAAAAGGAAAATCTCGGTATCAAGTGGTCACGTAACTCTCGTGCAAACGATAAACGCCTAGGGCACTGGGGGGGAAAATTAACCTCAGCAAAAGGAAGCAGTAGCTCGTTAATACCCAGAAGAATCGCTGAGTCTCCACAGGAAAAATCATGATTCCCATAAAAACTTGTATCTCAAAGACAACTGAGGAATCCCAAGTACAATTTTTACTCCCATGGGTCACAATAAAAACTGGATTAATCCAGTCAATTAAAAAAAATGGTCTCTTCATTTTATGAATTTAATAATCATCAGGTACATGTTTCCCTATCACAAGATCCTCCACTCGCTCGTAAACCTCAACAATTTCAACGGCAATTCCCCCCCTAATCAAGGACCTAATGACACATCCTTAATGAGAATAAGACCGAGACACCACCGATTCGAAAAACTTCTGGCGCCTCTCCTGAAAATACCTGTCGAGTGATTTCAAGTCGAGTTGTCAAGGAATTACTCAAAATGTTTTTCCCAAAAGTTGAATAATTACATGAGGTAGATTCAGTTGGAATCACGGCAAATGCCAAATAAAATGAATAAAAAAAATATAAAAAGGAGTGAGAAAAGGGGGTAAGAAAGAAGAGATCCCCCTCCTATCGTCGAAGACACCGAAAAACAAAAGTGGAATGAGGAAAAGAGTACAGAGTAGGAGTACATAAGTGGATACGAATAAGGACAGAGAGAAACGGTGACGATGGGTTGGTGTGGGCGCGTGTCTGGCAGCTGCCGCTTACAGGTGGTGTGCTTGCTTGGGAACCAAGCTCCAAGGCGCGTTCCCACGGAAGGTCCCTTTCCCTCTCCCCTTGTCCACCACCGGGCCCCATATTCCCCTAGCCATCACCAAACTTCTCCCACTCCACCGATCCAAGATTCTCCCAACAAGCCCCCCTACACCATATAAAAGGCCCAGCACAACTCCACCACATCACATTTGCCCACTGATCGTTCAACAGTCGAGTTCTCTCATTACCGCAGTTTATCGGTAAATTCAGTGTTGACAGCGCACTCGCAGTCAAACAACACTATCAGTGATCATTTGTGATTAGTGATTTGTGAAATCAAATAAAGGATATAATCATGCAGATGCACGAGCAGATGATGGTTGTCGATGGACAGGAGCAACCTATTTCCAGAACTTATCAGTACAGAAAGGTAATTATCGAATGTTCAATAAACGAGTTGAGAGAGTTCATTGAGTTTATATCGAAAAAATGGAACATTCCAAAATTTTGTTTGGAATTTGTCATTTGAATCGAGAATACTGATCGAAAGAGAAAAATCTATAATGTTTTTTTAATTTTTGTTGATCAGGTGATGAAACCAATGCTAGAACGCAAGCGTCGGGCTCGCATCAACCTCTGCCTTGATCAGCTGAAGGATCTGATGGTGACAGCTTTAGCTGGGGACGGTGAAAACGTGGCCAAACTCGAGAAAGCCGATATCCTCGAGCTGACAGTACGTCATCTTCACAAGTTACAACGACAGCAACGTCTCTCGGCAAATCCAGTCATTGATTCTGATCGTTTTCGCGCTGGTTACACACACTGTGCCAACGAGGTTAGCCGATGCCTAGCAGCAACACCAGGAGTTGATGTTGCATTGGGAACAAAATTGATGACGCATTTGGGACACAAATTAAACTCAATGGACAAGACTGGACCACTGACTATTCACGTGTCAGCACCTCAATCATCGCCGTCGGGAAGCGAATCATCGATGACCGACGAATACTCAATGCCATTGACACCTGCATCAAGTCAGGCATCACCGTCAGCCGTCCGGAGTGACGTTGACCTGAGTTTGACCCATCAGGGACTGCTGCAGGTTGCCAAACCCACGGAGGCGGTCTGGAGGCCGTGGTAGAGTGTCTACCATCTACCATGAGAGGAAAGGAATCGAGGGACTTTTGTCCAACAGACACTTCTCGGGGGGAAATTCATTCCGATATTTGTGATGACACGATAAATCAACGAGGTCTTCAATAGAGTTTACGTTATTGTCAGAAGAGACTATCGAAAGTGTTGAGAAGAATGATAATTATTCGTTGATGTTTTATCATGTTTGTAACGAGTCACCGACTCGATAGATCATTTTTTTTTTTGATCGGGATTTTTTTTTAATTAGGAGAGGGTTAAGACACGATCTCGACACGACACAAGGCCACGGTAACTCGTGCCAAGTGTTTCAAGCTTTAATTTACTCCAGAGTTTCATTTTTTTTTCTCTTGTCGATTTAATAATTGTTTAACGATGGATAACGATTTATCTGTTCTGGCGGTTTAACTGGTTAATTGATAATTAATGTGCAATTTGAGAATTTGACTTTGCTCGGTAGAGTTTAATGTGGACGCCAGAACGTTTTCAAATGAGCCTCGTCTCGGTCTTTTTATTATATTTCATTGACGATGTATCATTAGATCCTTGATTAGGAGGAAAATTGTCATAAAAATTGTTTGGATTTATGACCGAGCGGAGGATCTTGTGATAGAGAAACATGTACCTGTGATATTTACTATAGCAGATGTGCTAGTAAATGATTATTAGATTTATAAAATAAACAGAACGATTTTTTTAATAACTCATTGTGAATTATTTGACAACCACCACCCCTTTCCCATTCAAGTATGGATGACCTGTTTTATTTTCGATACTCAACCCGTGCCAAATTCATTGGGAGTGATTCATGAGGAAGTCGCATTACTCAGTATTTTTTTAATTAATAGCAAAGAGGTGAAGGGTAGACAGCGAAATTTTGGAATGAGAATGTCAAAAAATATACCTATTAGTTTAATCGACTCTTTACCCTTCACTTCATCGCTATTTGAGTCGTTTTATCACTGAACGGGGGATTATTGATTAAGTTGGGGCTGCCAAGGGGATTATGATATTCAGAAGGGGAAATGCGCATGGTAATAATTCACTGAGTCAATGTAAATATTTTTTCGCGTTGGGAGCGCTCTCCCTAGGCTTATCAAATTAATTGGGGATTATAATGTCCACGGGGGGAAATAGACGTGATAAAAATTGTGTCAATGTAAACACTTTTCCAGATCTGAAGAATACGAAGATGAAAGAGTTTGAAAAAATTGATTTCGTGGTTTTGAAAAGGCATAGAGGTTGTTAAATTCAGGAATAAACGCATCTCTTCAAATTTTGAATCGTATTTCATTGAATAAAAATGTTTCTAATTACCTCAACATTTATTCCCCACAAAAAAATTAATCAAAAATTCACCTCACGAACTTTAACGAGTTTTAAAGGTTAAGAACCGCGAAAAACATCATAAACAGAATTTTTGTACGCATCGAGAGCGAAAAAAAATGACCACCAAAACAATGACACAAAAAATGCAATTAATCAGGCCAATCGAATAAATTACAACAGTTGCGTTATCATCGAAATTTAAATAGCGTCGTTTGACATTGAACTATAAAATTGTTGTGGAAGCAACAGTGCCGTGATATCGCACGTGCAACTGGTGATGATAAAATTGCAGTAATTGAGATTTTTAACCTTAAAAACCGGCATAATGAGCATGGAGGAGGCGCCAAAATCGGTGAATATTGTGTGGCGATTATTGGGAGTGCTCGGTATACGGAAAAACATGCTTAGAATCCAATAATACTCACATTTACGACGACCAAATCGGCGCACAGCTGTAACACGTGCTGTCAGGACAGGTGCACCACTCACTCTACGCGGCCATCTTTCGGCGGGAATTAGCCACCGACTGGCGCGAATTTTCAATCGACAACAGCAATTTCCACTTTATCCACTCACAATACATCCGACCTATTATCAAACACTCCATGCACTCCTGAACAAAAAATGAAACTAATTTCATAAACATCAAATGGATTGTGAATTTTCAGAACAATTTTTTTTTATACAATTCATGGTTAGAAATTCATGAATTTCAACTTTCACAAGAAATTCGGTAAAACCGAAATAATTATGTATTTTCACCACAGACCTTCCTACCTGACCATCGGACCAAAAAATCCCAGCAAAAAATATAAAACCTCTCTAATTTGTATAAATGCATTGTAAAATGGGTTCTTACCGGGAATTAATCGTTGAAGATGATTTTTTTGTTGGTTAGATCGTGGAAAATCATTCAGGGATGCTGTAAATACTGATTTGAATGCTGAGAATTTCTGGGGAATTATTATTTGCCATTGGATGTCTGGAGAAATCCCCAAAAAGTTGTTTCACAAGATGTCGCCGATGCAGACACTGAAATATACTCAACCAAACGCACGCGGTCGAGATTAAAAACGTCCGGGATCGCCATATTGTCTCACAGTGAAGCCTAGAAAAAACATTGTGTTCACGTGGAATCTCTCGAGAGCGAATAAATCCTTGAAAAAATACGAGATACCTTGAAAATAAAGTGTTGAAGTGATCCTGAGAGTTTGAACGTGCGGATACCTCTGTTAAAATTTCCCACAACTGCCGAATCAATTGGTAAGTGAAAATCACCGGCATTTATCGCCTCGTGCTTCCTCAGCTTTCTTTATCCCCAAATTCCAGATCAATTCCCCCAAAAATCCCGAAATATTCTCTCACTATCTCCCATTTGCATCCCCAGCGGTTGCTATTTTTATTGGCTATTTTTTTCTTCAAGAGAGAGCATTATCTTTGCCTCGGAGACCTCTTGGAATTCACAGCAGGCGAAATGCTTGAGAATATTTCGAGATGTTGCACAATATGGACGCGACTGAATCCCCAAAACGCAACATGTAGGACCGGTTCTGAATCGGTGATTTATTTATTTGGGATTATGTAATTTTAATGGGATCGGCGATTTTGGTTAACCCGGAAAAATTCTGTGTGTGAGAATGATGTATCACATCTGGAAATAGTCTGGAGAACTCCGTAGCACTGGGCCATGGAGTCAATGGCTTCTGCTACAATTTTTTTCTTCTGAATTCTGCGAATTCCGCCACTGATTTTTCAGAGGGAGTTAGAAACATTAATTTTTCAGTTCTAAAATCATTCGTTTCAATTTTATAGAAAAGAATTCTAGTAATTTTTTCGGCGAATTTCTAATAGGGCTCTAGAGTCATTTCTCCAAACAAAAATCTCCCAAAAATAAAAATGAAAATGAATTAATGAAGCTATACGTTCGACGGCTTAATAATGACTGTCATTTCGCAGACGACCGAATCAATTTGTCAACACAAATATTCAATCTCTCTATCTGTCCCTCTCTTGTCGAATAATTTCGAAATAATCCCCAGAATAAACACATAATACAGAAAAAAAAGGATGAACTGAATGAGAAGTAGAAATACAATACTTAGCTCCTCGCACATGAGATACCACAAAACAAATAAAAAACGATGTGATGCATTTTTAAATAAAAAAACATGCCTTCAATTTTTCCTCCACTCTATTCTCTATTTTCTGTGGAATTTCTTCGATATCCCAAGAAATAAAAGAAACCATTATGAACTGAGTAATTGTATTTCGCTCGTTAAAAATTTCAACTTCTATTTCAAGGCATGTTTGGAGTTTAATGATCAGCAATTTCCGTAATTACTTTTACGATTGCTGACGATGTACCTCAGAAGGTTGCATTTAGAAATAAAAAATACAAAAGAAAATCGAAAAATTAATGATGAGAAGATGAATAATCTCATATGAATCCAAAATGAAATATTTATTTCATCCCAGATGCATTCAAATATTTTTTATCGTTTTCCAACTCGATATGCAAATGAAGAAGGAAAACTGTAGGTATTCGTGTTCTCCCTTCTACCTGCTCTACCTAGAACGAATGAATAGTCACTTGGTTTTCGATTTTACGTTTTGTCTAGTTGAGCACTGGTCAGAGCTCATACCAACCGGCTCTACAGCTCTTTCCTCTGGCGTCTGCGCACTCCTCTTTTCTCCACCACGTGTCCATAAAAATAAGTAAACTTGAAAATTGAGAATTTCAATTTGTCGGCAACACTTCATGCATTTATCGGTCCCTCGCGATTCACACTATTAATTAAAATTACATGGAAAGTCAAAACTCCATTCCCCATCGAAACATTTTCACATCTGTGCACTTGTGTTGGACATTTCTCGACATTAAAATGGATTTTTCAACGGTAAGTTATTTACAACGAATGAAATTCGAGGATTTCGTAATTTTTCAGTTCATAAATCGGTCGAGCTCCTGTAAATAAAAATAGGATTAATAATTCATCGAGAGTATCTTATCAAGTTCATAAACTCAGATAAATCCTGTTATAATCTGGACCTCATGCAGATAGTTTCAGTAATTTTTACTGGAGAACCAGTCCCTCGCACTTGAAGCGAGTTCCCTCACCTCCGTGAAAGTTCAATTGCTTTTCAGAACATGTAGCATTCACCTCATAAACCCTTCATGATCCCGATAACGATTTTTAATCAGGCAGATAAATTAAGAAAAAGACAATAACGATAATCGATTTTTTGATTGGTTTCGTCGGTTGAAAAAATAACTAGCTCGAAGACATTACACCAAGTATTAAATGCAAATTTCCATACATTCCATGTGTCTCAGGGAAACAGTCAGCATTTTTTACTACGCGAAAAGCAAGGGGAAACACTTTTAACTGATAGCGAGTATTTTTTTTTTTTTGCGTTTGCATAATCGAACATTCTTGTCTGTTGCAAAATTCTCGTTGCAGGGCACTCGTTCTAACAATTCTCCGCGACTTTTCCGGAACTGAGTCAGTGGATTTTCTACTTGGAAAACTATAATGCAAATAGATTCATCGCGTGTACACCCGTCTAAATAAAGTCATAAAGACTCAGATTACTTCTCCTTGCATCTTGTTAACTCCGTTATTATTTCCGAAGCTAGTGATTTTCGAATGAAGTTTATCGGACCTTTTTTGTAGCTGATAAGATTCTCTACAAGAAACATCTAATGAATTTTTCCTTTAAATCTCTTTGTTCCCCTGTAAGTCGACTCTGGAACATGTCGATTGATCGAGTTCTGTTCCACTTGCAGCTTTTATCATTTACTCGGAAAATTAGCTACCGTGGATCAGGATCATGGCTATCAGGAACGTGCAGCTTGTGAAGTGGACCTTCCCCTTCGCCCTGTTAATTGGTTTATTCTGGTACAAACGTCGACGCGTAGATCGAGTTGATCCCGGTGGAAAGTCAAAAATCGAAAGAGAAGAGTGTGAGAATTCCTCGAACATTGATTCCGCGAAAAAGACGAGTCTCAGCGACTCCGGGATCAGCATCGACGATTCCCTACTGATTACACCACCCGTGAATCATTCCGAGGGTGGAACCAGCGGTTCAAGCCCGAGAAGAGTCAGTGAAAGTCTGGATATTCCCACGAGGAAATCGAGCTCCCAGGGGATCTCCATCAAATCCACTAAATCTGGGAGCAGTCCATGGTACACTGAGGTTGAGGATATTCCAGAGGTGAAGGGAATCGTCCTGGGTAGCAATCCCAAGTCTCCAAGCCTTGACATGGCGAGAAAAAATCAACTGGAGGTCCCTGACAAATCAGAGAAGGCCTCCCAGGAATTCACTCACGTCCCCCAGGATCCCAAGATCTCCATCGACGAGACCAAGACCTCCGTGCAGGCCATCTCCGACCGAGACTCGGCAAATCACAGTCCTGTCTCTGGAGTCCTCGATGGCAGTGTCAATGACGAGGTCAGGAGCGAGGGCAGCACTGATAGTGGAAAGGGTAGATAATTTTTTGTGTCTTTGAGAACATGAGAAAGATGATTTTACCCTACCACCAATAATTTGCCATTTAAAAAATATCTAGACCAAGAAATGATTTATCCAATTTTTGAAATAGCTTTTCCCGGTAAATTCATGATGAATAAAAATATTCAATTAAATTCATCTCCTTTAGAATTTTGCTATTGAATATAAAAGTACTTGATGATTATTCTAGGTGGGAGTATCAACGGTCAAGTGACCAAGCGAAAATGTGTAACAACTTATGAGTTCACAATGCCCCAGAGTGTGGTGGGTCGTATGATCGGTAAACGAGGCATTTTAATCCAGCAATTGAATGCCAAAGCCGAAGTTAATATATTTGTGAAACGTCATCCCACAACGAATCACTTAAAACTCTGTGTTATCGAGGGGCTGCCCGATAACATAAACCGAGCACTAGACCTGATAAGATTGAGATTCCCATTGAAGAAATTTCCGGAGGTGACACTCGAACAGGTCAACCTGACGAGTAATCCTGAGGAAATTCCCTGGGTCACTGAACTCATGCAACTGCACTTGGTGGATGGTGTGAACAATGATGTTATGGTCTGTCATATTCTGCAACCCGATAGGCTGTTTATTCAATTACCAACACATCCAACTCATCCATCACTCAGGGTGTTAGATTATAATATGACACAGTTGTACAATACTGTTGAGTCACCACCTGTTCCAGATCAATTGGCTCGTGAGTTTGTTTACCATTTAAAATGCATCATTCATTACTTCTGTATTTGCAGGAGGAAAGAGAGAAAGTAGACAATTGGACTTGATTAATAAATAATTCTCAATTGCTCGTTATGTTTCTGGGACTGAGCAATTAATGAATTAAATGTTTAATGCTTGATATTTTGCACAGAGGGAATGATTGTCGTTGCCAAGTGGTACGACACATGGGTTCGTGCTCTAGTGGAAGAGGCAGATCCTGCTGGTGAGAAGCACTTAGTCAGGCTTGTGGATCACGGGGGTTTCTGGACGTTTAGCAATGCAGAAATGAGGAAAATTAGATCAGATTATCTGACGTTGCCTTTTCAAGCAATTGAAGTCTCTTTAGCAAATATTAAACCTAAAAATGGTGATTTTTAATTTTTTACAAATACAATATTACGTACTAGGGTTTATTGTTATTTTGTACGTTTTTTTTTTATTGTTTATATAATCTTTTTAGGTGAATGGCAACCAGAAGCCTATGATGTTGTAGCCCAAATCTGTTCAAATAGCATTGGACAGGCTCAAATAGAAGGTTATATCGACTCAAGTATTTTTATCAGTCTGTATATTAATGTACCGAAGCATGGGGTAAGTTTCATAACCCGAATGAAATTTCCACGATAATCCATTTTGATTGATTTGATATCCATTATTTAATTTTATCTCAGGTGATATCTGTTGCACACGAATTAATAGCGCGAGGTCTTGCAGAGGCCGTGGCCTTTGAGGAGATGATACCCGAGCAGCCACTGGCTCAGACATGAATCTACGACACCTGAAGAAGAACGAAAAATGTGTGATTTTAAAGGCTTTGCCTATAATTCGTGTAAGTCCGGTAATTTCATTAGTTTAAACCGCAGAGAACTGGTGGATACGTGTGAGTGTGATCGTCTTTTCAATTTCTAAGAAAAATAATGTGTGTCTGAACATAACATTTCATCAACTACTTCATAAACTCATTTTTAAAGCCCAATTCCCAATTTTTGCACTTAACGTTGAAAGTTATTCCCAGTGAATGATATTAATTTTTTTTTCCTGTTAAAAATTGAGAGAATGATTGGCATTAATTCTGAGGATTGCATTCTTACCCATCATCGGCCATCACCGATTGATTATTGATTTTCGAAATGAAAAGATTAAAAAAAGTGTTTCAAAATGTTTTTGAAATTTCTTACTGAAAATTAAATCAATCTCTTCGATCTTTTGTATATAAATAGAGTGTATGGGAAGTGGCATTTTAATCTCATCAGTGCATGAAAAAAAGATTTTACTGGTTAAAATGCTGCATTAATAGCATAAAATCTCAATTACTCAATTAAAAAAAAATGACTGATTAATTATTCTTCATGATGAATCATTTTTGAAGACCAGGGAAATCACAATAATGTCATAATCTGCAGGAGTATGAATAACACTGGTGAGTGTCACTTGTATAAATGCAAAGAATATGAGAAGTTTTTTCTATTTTTCAATTGAAAATGAATTTAGTTAAGACACTTTTTTATACGCCATCCAAGTTTCTCAATTAAATAAAAATAACTCCGATACTTAGCAATTTTTGCATTTCAATGGTCGAAGCAATTAGACCTAGTAGTAAACGTTGAAGTTAATTTTTTAGGCTGAATTTCTGGTCGATACATCCTGTAAATATTGTAAACATCAACAGTTTTCTTTTTCACATATTGAAATATTTATACATTAACTAATAAGAGTAAGAGGAGAAATCCCAACGTTTAAGTGACAATGAAGAATAATAAAATAATTATGAAATATCCGAGAAGCTAGAGATAATATTAAAGTTCAAAATTGGATGAAAACATGAACAAATGTGCGAAGAAATTCTATGAAAATTCTCTAGTGTTAATCACATTCACGACGAATGTTCATCAATCCACGACGATTGACCTGCAGATTTAATAAATAATTCAGTAGCCAAGGGATAAAGGGGAACAAGTCGAATTGTTCTCAAGTTTATTTTTCGAGGAATATCTCTCAAATCTGAGAGGGGTAACGAAATTTTATTCAAGACCTTTTTTGTAGAGCGTAAACTTCAAGGAGCGCTACAAAAAAGCTTCTTACTGAAATTTTCCTGCTTTTCTCTGACCCAGAGATGTATCTCGAAGAAATTGACTATTAGATAAATGGATAAGTCGGCTGGTTCTTTAGTGGTTTTCGAAAAATACCTCCGAACCCAAGAAAAATAGCGAAATTCTACGCAAAACCTTTTTTGTGGAGCGCAATAAGAGCTACAAAAGAGGTTTCAACAAATTTCGGTACTTCTCTTAAATGCGGGAATTGAACGATATTGTCCCTCTTCACTACTGATTAAATCACATTTTTGAAGACTCTGTGGCCACTGGGAGCTGGGAATCCAAATGTCGCGTTGTGTTATTCATAGATACATGGATAAAAAAAAATGTATTATTGTTAAAAATTTTCTTTCTATAAGTTCACATATATTTTTTTGATACAGAAAAATTTAACTCAGCCTTTTGATAAAGCATTTACTATCTTCACAAAAGTAAAACAAAAAAAAATAAAAACTCGAACTGATTTTTTATGCAAAAACTAAAAAAAATAGAGGAGGTAGAGAGTTCATAGCAGTTGTCGATGAATTTCTGGGAATTGCCAATGTTTTTTCATAGCCCAGCTTGACCTTCCAAAAAATGTTGAATGTTAAATACTTGATACTTAATATTGTTGATTTCTGATGTGAAATAAATATTTTTCTAGGGAATTATTACTAAGATATGGCCAATAAACATAAATTTATATTCGTAACGCGTCATTATCAGCGAGATGTTAACATAATTATCTTAATTTGATTATTCAGATGTTTCTCTCTATTCTCTAATGAAGCACAAGTGGTGCTGGCGAAATTCATAGCCCTTCGATTATTCATTTTATTGTATATAGAGAATTGTGAAATTATCATCTCAATGATAAGTATAACGACCCAGCTGTCAGGTTGTAGGATAATCTAGGGTTTATTTTCACGTGTCATTTATCAATAAATAAAACTGGTTTGTATGTAAATATATCGATGTAATGTCTCTGGCGTTTTCATTAAATATTCACCGTTTTAATTATGATTATCCGATCAGTCTCCCTTCAATACCCAGATAAGGAATTGATTGCGGGATAGTGCATTCTCATCGACTTGCAGCGTTTTCCGTCGATCCAGAGGCTGTTCTTTTTGACGAGCAATTCATTTTCTAATTTTTTCCGCAATTCTATTAACGAGTCTGTCGAGTCACATGCCATTTTCACTTGACCTGAGAGAGCTGTCGTACCTTCTGCGACATTCTTCACCTCGTCGATGAGCCTAAGGATCATTTTAAGTCGTCATTAATTAATTTAACATAAAGAAACGCTGTTTTACCCATTTTGAGAATGATCCCTGCAACTCTCGATATTTTCTCGAATGAGTCTCATACCCAGACGAGTCTGGGCGCATTTCATAGGCCCATCGATGCCCCTGATAACTGCATTAGTCTTGTTTATGAGCATATCGTTATCTGCAAGTCTCTTGAGACACTGAAATTATTTTTTTATTGAGGAAAGTGTCTTCTGGAGGCATGAAGTGAAAATTTACGTTATTTAATGCGGCCTCGAGGCGTCGAATTGCTTCAGTGAGCTCCACGATCTGATCTGCCAGTGCCATTTCCACAGCGGCTGCTTGTCTTCGTAAATCTTTCAGACAAGTAGAGGAATTCTCGATCATATTCGCTCGCAGTACTTGGGATCGATTTACAGCGGTTTTTGCGTAAATTATTGACTGTTTCACGAAAGTTGTGTGTCCTTCGGGAGATGATTGGCTGACGGGGAAGATCAATTGATTAATTTTTATTACTCAACCAGAAAAATTGATTAATTGGGATTTAATGAGATTCGCGCACTCTTGAGAGACCTGTAGACTTCCTGGTTTCCACTGGAGTCCCTCTGAGTCATTTTTAAGACCGACACAAGTCGAATCGATGTCGTAAGTCTGGGATTTATCAGACCAGTCGTGCTCTAGTCTCTGTTTCGCATCTTTCAATTCGATTGATTGCATTTTCGTCTCGTCGATGCAACGGGTGTACAAATTCAGGATATCGTTGCACAATTTCTCCTCCTGGAACACGCCTCAAATTATTCTCGGAGGGGTACAGGATTTCTTCACGTTTACCTTTACAATTTCCTCTGCCAGAGTGTCATGCACTAGGTCTGAGTGCAGCCGCGAGTCCCTGATCCTCTGAATATCCCTGTCCATGTTTTTTATTGTTTCAACGGCTCGAAAACAATTCGATAATCTTCCGATTTCCCCTTGAATTTTTAATATTTCAGATTCCACTTCCTCCCCTACGAATTTTAATTCTGTCTTCCAGTGAAAAATTTCTCCAGCTCTGGATCGTAATAGGAGACTATTGTCCAGCTGTTGCTTATCGATTTGTGAACAGATTTGAGATCCCAGTAAATTTGTTTTGTACTCGTGATTTCTAAGAGAAATTTCTAAATAATTATTTATTTTCAAAAGGGATGTTATCGATATTCGGAAGGTTCGTATCATTGACTGCTTACTTAGCCTCACGAATTTGATAAGTCGAGTCCTTGAGAATCTCCTGATGTCTGTTTCGCCACTCTGCAGGACTATACCGAGATATGGTGAAATTACCAACCGTTGGTCTGGTACCCGTGAACCTGGGGAGAGCTGTCCACCTCTCCAGGGGTGGATCGCAATCCTCCGCCGACGCCGACTCCCCGAAACTCACCATCTCCTCCTAAACCCACCCCAATATCCATCCACATCAATTCTCCGTATATCTCCACAACAAATGATTTTTCAAAAAAATACCCGAGGACTTTTCAATAGCTGATTAAATTTCCCACAATAAATGTCCTATACATGTTCCTCCTAAAATCCCCCATTGTGGTGATAATTCCTCATTTACCAATGGCTTAATTTCCACGTTTGGAAAAAATTCAATAATCAATTTCACAATTATTCCTCTGCATTCTCACCTCTCCACCCGGTGAATCATCTCCAACATTATCATGTCGAGGCTTTTCAGGACAGAAAGAATTTTTTTCCTCGCAGGAATTCCCGGATTTTTTTTCATTTCTACTCAAATCCTTGAATTTTTCATTACCTGTCAATTCCTGGGGCTTTCGAATTTCACAGATCGTCGAAACCCCCTGCCCCTTCATATTCATCGAAAAATAACGATGAGACTAACTCGAAATAAATAATAAATGAGCATCAGTGATTTTATTAAAAAAAAAACAAAACAAATTGAGAGGGTTACAAAAGAGCGGTAAAAGCGCAGTGATAAGAGGTGATCTGAGGGGATTAAATATTCCATTGTAAGCGATTTGGGGCGAGTGTTCTTGGTGGATTTTACACGAGGCCGGATAATACTTCGGCAGAAGGGTAGTAAGATCGTAACAATTGTCCGCGCTCTTTGTCCAAAAAGAGTGTTTTCCTCTTGACAAATATTTCACGTTCCAGGTCACTCCGGGATTTCACCAGAGCCGCTTGAGTTTCCTCTGCTCTCTGCAGCTGACCCGACATCATCGACAATTCCTCTCCAATTGTTTTCACTTCCTGGATCAATCTGTAATTGAAAAGAATTTTCCGCGATGGAGATTAATTAATCAGGTGAACCGCGAAATTTCATACCCATATTGAGGCTCATCTCGACAACTCTCGACGTTTCTACGGTACAATCGTTCACTCAAACGTGTCTGAGCTACTTTCAGTGCTTCATTGAGACCTTTAGCCGCCCCTCGAAACTCCTCAATCAAATTTTCCGTCGCTGAGAGTTGATTTAAACACTGGAACATGAAATTTATTCGGTATTCCTTCAGTTGTATGAATAAAATATAATTAAGGAAACCCAAAAGTGCAATTTTGGTTTTCTCACTTTCGAGAGTTCTTTCTCCAATTGCTGACACGCTTGCTCGGTCTGAGTAATTTTTTCCGCCAGTTCTTTATCCACTAGCATCGCCTGATTCCTCAGGTCCTTGACAGCCTTCACGAAAATTTCGTCCAGGGTTTTCCTGAGGGAAATCGACCTCTGTCTGACTGCCTCAGCATTTTCCAGGGCTTCCGAGGTGAAGTGGTCGTAGCTCTCGGAGGTGGATTGCCTTGAGAAAAATATTTTGTCAGGTATATTTAATATCAATAATCATTCAACCGATTCAACCGATTCAACCGACTCTGGAGGAACTCTCGTAGCTCCTGGTCTCATCAGAATCAACGGAGAAGTGTTTGTCAGGCTCACGCAAAAGGAGTCGATCTCGTAGGCATCGAGTTTATCCGTTAAATCGAACTCCAGTCTTGACTTTGCTGTCTTCAACTCTTGAAGCTGATACTCTATCGATTCTCGTGTTCTCGTGAGGGTGTTCCTCACTTCGTTGCACAAAGCAACTTCCTAGAAGCCCAGATTAACACATCCCCTTAAATAATTCAAGACTCGTCACTAGAAATTTTGTCCGATAATTACTTTAACCAATTCCTCCTCAACTCTGTCTCTAACTAGATCGGGCTCGAGTCGTTTGCACCGCATGTCCAGGAATTCTCCAGAGATGGACTCGGGAAGTGTCAGAATGGAGAGAGACTGTTTGACCCGACGAAGCTCACCCTCTAGCAACTCGATCTCATCTGTGATCTCGTGGAGTGCCTTCTCCAGCTCAGTTTTCCACCGGTGTATCACACTCGCACGTTTGCTCAATTTATCCCGATTTTCCAGCTGCACTTTGTCAGTATTTTTATAAATTCTCGTGTTGTTCTCCCTCGTCTTCTCAGTTACGAATCTGGGGAGAAAATAATTCTTCTGGAATTGTTAAATTAATGGGAATTGAGGTTTTGTTACCGAGCCTCGTCGATGGTCTTGCAATTATTATCGAGAAATGTCTGATTATGTGCCCTCCACTCTGCTGGACTGTATCTAGTGACGGAGTAACGATCGACGACAGGTCGTACGCCTGTAATTCCACCCGTGGGAGTTAAAACGACACGACCAGTTGCCCACGGGCCAATTGGATCCACCAGCTCCTCAATATTACGAGTAACATCATCACTGGCTTGGGGCAAGTAAGGCGGTGGAGATTTTCCTGTCTGGTTCATGCGGGTTTCCAAGACATCCACCGCTGGGTCAACCCCCGACACCTACCCCACATTGTCAAAGCAGGAATAAAAATTCAGCAATAATAAATCAGCTAGAAGTACTCAAATCATTAATTTGCAATCGATAAAAAAATTGTAGGAAGCCCTTGAAGGGGTTGGGGATGATTTTTTTCTCCGTGGATTTACAACTTATGTGAGGTTTTTCTAGTCTTACCCGTCTTACCCCGCAAGGTTCTATCTCCTTTTGAACCTTCGCACCCTCGTTGAGGTTACACCGCTGCTCCCTGACTCTTCCAGGATCGTTACCGGCGCACCGCTCGTCCAGAGAACTCCTCTGCAACATCACGAGGCCCTCGACACGAATTCGAATGATAAGTTAGTCGGTGTCTGGGTCTTCGGCAAATGGATTTCCGAGGTGAAACAACACGCGAGGGGTTCACAACACGCAATAACTTCCCTCCGTTATTTGGGGTGGAGAGAGACGTTACCAAGGTGGCATTGCACCTGGAGAAGCTAACCAGCTTCCCTTATCGATCACAAACTTCACCGGAACTAAGCTGCGAACCCAATCCCTTAGTTCCCGAATAAACAACTAGTTTTTCTGATAAACTAATAACCATTGCTTTAGGTTAAAAAAATCTGACGAATATAAAAATGGAATTCTATTATTTCGAATAATTCAGGGTTTTTAATTGAATGGTTATAATTAATCATTGATAATAACAGTAATTTCTATTGTTTTTTGGATGAGATGAGGAGGGGAATCGAATGGTCCTTCAAATTTTGATACGTAAAATCTGTTGAGTCAGCTGTAGTGGGTGGTGGATAGGGGGCAGATGGTGATGGGCTGAGGGGTGATGGGGTGAGGGTGAGGGTGGATTTAGTCGTGTGGAAAACCCAGGAATCCAAATCCCGAAACGTCGGTGAGCGGTTGCCGAGGGTTTTCGAGGCGTGCCTGACAGGGTGGTCAGAAGGCCTCGTTGAGTTTGTTCAAGCGAACAACGAGGCTCAACAGAACACACACTGACCCATACCAACTTCACCCTGTGGGGTACAGTGTCATCCCAATCCTTGCAACACTCTTCGATTTTCCTAACCAAAACCCACCAACCGAAACTCCAAGCGTGTCACCAATACACTTTTCTCTGTTTGAGAATAAACTTGGCAGTCTCAATTTCACTCCGATATCACTGCAAATGTTATCATTTTTATCAGTCGACCAATTCATTTCCTCCGGTATTTTTCAATTAATTCATTTCACTGAATTCATCATTTCTTGTCTTTCACTCAATGTCAATTATTTATTATTGATTAGTGAGTAGTGCAATGGGGATATTTTTTTAATGGTTTTTAATAAAAACGAAGGAAATTCATAATTTTCCTTTTATTGCGTCTTAACGTTGAATTTTTATTCAGTATATTAATACCAAAAACTGTCTGAGCATTCGCCCCTTCCTTGAAAACCATCAGACCCTGTGAGCGCAGTTTTATGATGCGTAACCAGCTTATATAAAACGGTATAAGTACGAAAACATTCCACCTGGCTGAGTGCCGCTAGGCTCCCCCGATGCAGAATAAATTCACTCGAGTTTACATCACCGATAAATACCCCTCAAACCCCCACTCACCCCCTCCAATTTGTCATTCACCAGAAATTAAATCCTCACCTCCGGCAAGGACATCAATACACAAACAAATAATGATCTCATAAAAATTACAGTAAAAAATAAAAAAAGAGCTAAAAATTTTAGAAAGCGACAATAACCGCATAAAACGTACGAAAATAAATAATAAAATCATCAATAGCCCGTCGTATGTGGGATAAAATAAATAGAATTGCTAAATAAAAAGCTTCCGCCCCCAAAATCGTAAATAAAAACAGCCCGAAAGGTATAAAAAAAGGCGCAGGTGATTCAAAAACGAAAATAAAAGCATGACGAAGTATAAAAACCCCTGTTAAGGGAAAACAGAAAACCAAACAAGTAAATAAAACGTGAAAAAAAAAAGAATGAAGAAAAATAAAAAAGAGAGATGGAGTAAAAAATGTTGAATGAAATGCACCTGAGGGGAAAAAAAAATGAGTTCAAGTGGAAAAAGCCCTGTTAAGGGCGTGGTATCAATCGGGTTGGATTCGAAAGCTCACGCCCCCCCGATGAACGTTGCGCATCTACTCGTGAAGGGGTGGGGATGGCGGGGTGAGAGGATTGTGGGTGGAGCCAGCCAATGACATAGTGGTGGCAACCGACAACGAGTCATCTGACAACGTGGCCTTGGAGCCGCGCCCCCCGAATGGCTAACTAGCCCCCAGTCCTGGGGAAGAAATAGCCACTCAGCCAGCAAGTCCCAAACCATCCACCAAACTACCCCACTTTCTCCAACTAGCATAACTACCGAAGGTGTTAACGCCAGGAGTTACCACCACCCTCACCCCTACACCCCTACACCCTTACACCCCTACACCCGTACACTCCTACACCCCCTGTACCACCACCCCCTGGACCCCAGCATCCTGGCCTGTGTGACTGTACAATCGTCCAGCCTCCGACGACCAGTCGCTCCTGGAAAAGCCCGACATCACCGACTCACTGGGTTTTACGCTTTTTCAAACCCCCTCAACAACCCCCCAATCCACCCCCAACCCCGGGTGATATTCTTCGATGATTTTAACCGAGGTACACGCGGAAGTAACTCAAAACGACGAGACGGACTCCATCGAATTGTGAAAGTTATGCCGAGGATACTGGTACCGGGATCCATGGTCCAGGTTTAGAGGACACGGAGGATGGGCACAGGTCAGTCATTTACGAGGGATTTTTTATAATTATCTGCTCTTCCCATTTTAGCTTTTATTGTTTTGGATTTTTTTTTTTAAGTGACAATCGATTTTTATTCATTTTTACATTTTTTTTCTGGAGTCTGAATTTGAAATTCTTGCAATTGTTGTGTTGGCTTTTTATTTTATAATCAAGTGACATAAAAAATGGTGTTTGTGTGAACAACTTGATTAATTACCATGATAGCTGTATTGTTTTCTGATAAGGAGAATACAATAAAAAATGAGAAAACAATTCAAGATTTTTCAATTTTGCAGTGAAGTGAAGTAAAAATAAATGAAGTGAATATAATAATCCGTGAGCAAGGGTCTGTTGGATTTAGTCTCGGTTTCAACAATGGGAGGTTTTCGTTATGCCAGGGTGTGAGGTGTCTTCGGTGGAGGGATGAAGGGTTTGGCTTAGGCACAACCGTGTTTTTCTTGCCGCGGATCATTAGGACGATTAAGGGCAACCCACCAAAAGGGAGAGAACAGATTAAGACAATCTTCCCGAGCCCCTTCGTCTCGCCACTTAATTTTTTACCTCCACCTTTTTCCCCTTGGGAATTAGTCCCTAGTGATTTTTTCACTAGAAAATCTTCCGGAGATAACCACCACCGAATTGATTTGAAAATTGATTCTATAGATACAATTTTGGAATTTCTCAAATAAAATTCCTAATCGTCTGACTATTTCCTGATTTTCCACTTGCACCGACGAATTTTTCAGGTGATCGGCTGCTGGATATTGCCTGCAACGTATGCGAGGATCGTAGTTCAGGAAAACACTATGGAATTTACAGTTGCGATGGTAATTATCCTAATTAACAAATTAATTCCACAATCGCATCTTGTGAACAAAAAAAATATCTCTCCCGGCGCTGCATTGTCAATAAAAATCATTAGAACTTATAATTAGAGCATGAAATTTGCCATAAAAAATATGCTCGCGGTTCAAACAGGACGAAAAATTTTAATTTGAGAAAACGATTGCATGAAGATGCAAAAAATCAGATGTTTAAATTTTTTTTTTAATCTGCGCAATAGGTTGTTCGGGATTTTTCAAGAGAAGTATCCACAGTAATCGTGAGTACACCTGCAAGGCTCAGGGCTCAATGAAAGGTCGTTGTCCCATCGACAAAACCCATAGAAATCAGTGTCGAGCTTGCAGATTAACCAAGTGCTTTCAAGCAGGAATGAACAAGGACGGTAAGTGACCCATTTATTCTTTCCAATTTCTCCCACAAATAATTTTTTGAACATGTGAATGAAAAATCAATCGTCCTCCAAAAAATTCCATTCGAATTTTCTCAATGCAAACGAATCGTGGGTTGTGGATGTTTAAAAAAAATATTCGAATCGTTTATTCGGCTTCATCTTTCCTTCTCTTGGTTAAGGTGAAATTAAAGGGGTATTGAATTAAACCGAGGAAAAAAATGATGGAAGACTTTGTGATGGGGGAGCTGTCACTCCAGTCACTGGAGAATCCTATTAATACCCATCGCCCATCACGCTCTGCTCGTCACTCTCTCAAGGGATTATACTCTTCAACCCTTTCAGCGTCTTACGTCCCCATTGATAGGGATCAATATTTTCGCGGGGAGAAGAATGACAAAATTAATAACTTGAAAAAAGCCACGAGAGAATAATTTAATATCAGTTCTCAGCCTGCTGTGATTGATAGAGAGATTATTTTCTGGAGCACCTGAGACATGCGATAGGTTCATTCATCAGAAAAAAAATTAATGAAGTTACCGATTTGATGGAATAAGACGTGACTAGGATTTTTTCGATGTTTTCATTCTTGGGGATGAGTCCGATCATCATTTATGATGGAGAAATGACGTTTTCGATTTATTCTTCATCCCGTCAACTGAATTAAATTTTTTTGTTTTGAATAATAATTTTTTTTCACATTTATTCAATCAATTTTCCCCGATTTCTCCCTCGATATGGCCCGTCGGCGGTTCGCACCCCTGAGTACCTAATTTTTTTCACCATTGATTGTACAGAATATTAAAAAATATTTCTCCGATCACATAAATTTCCATAGAGACATTGAAAATAATCCAAGTCACCGGATCAGTGGCGAGAACCCTCCCAAATAAATCCATCAGGAAAATCCGAAAGTCACCTTGGAACCCCCTCCCCCTGGTGAGAAAAATTCCCTCCGATGATGATCGCGGGGAATAGGCAATCGGTCTCCTCCCAGGGAATAACTCGCGAGAAACCACTCGAGGAGCTGGTGGGAATAAAGGAGAATGGGCTCTCGGAAAACTACCGGTTGGTTGGTGAGGGGGTTGTGGGGGTTGAGGGGGTTGAGGGGGTTGAACGGGAGGTGGAGGGTGAGTTGGTTTGATATCTGAAGCGCAGGAGGATTGGGGCGGGGCACGACCGCTTGTCATGGATGAGGGTGCAAGGGTGTTGGGGGGGTGTTTAATGCAGGACGGGTGCTCCGGTTCCCAGCGGCAGGACCCCCCTCAGGGTGGGGGATGGGGTGCAGGGGGGCTGCAGACTCCAGTAAGAGAGGAGATTCAATTAGTGGCAGAGCTTCCTAACGTTAGGGAGTCTACACACGAATACGATGAAAAGTATAACTATAGGATTTCCGTTGTACCTCGGGGCTACAGTCGACAATACCTCACTCATCCACCCTCTAACCACCCCATCAACCTCCCCCACAATCCCCGCACCACTCGACGCCAACCTTTTCACCTACAACCGTCGAGCTGGCGTTTACCTGCCAAATTACATCATCCAAGATTAATTATTTTTTACCCCTGCCCTCTTTTACTGCGGGAATTGAATTTTTTTGCATTTTCTTTTTCTACCGATTTTTTACGGGAGATGAAACCGTTATTGTCAGTTTTATTTTAACCAGTTATGATGAATTCTTTTTGTTTTACTGGCAAATTAGGGAATTTACTTGGTTACTTGTGCCTTTGAAAGAGTTCAAACCTTTCATCACTTGTCTGCTATAAAGCTGTCATTTTTTCAATGTCCGGTGACTTTGAAAATATGGGGAATAAAAAAATAGGAGAGACTGGCGTGAAGAGGGAAATCGGTTGGATCATTGATTTAGTCTTCTTTTGCAACTCGAGGTTTGTGCGGGTGGTGGATATCAAAAGAGAATTAAATATACCCGTATAATGTCGGTTGTGCGCCTGGAGGTTCGTATTAGTGTGATTTGTGATGAAACAGTGGGATTTGATGAGAGAAAAATTCAGGGACGATTTCGAGGGGAAAATAGTCTTTGTCGGTACAAATGAGGAATTTTCTACTTAAAATGGTGCTCACTCTTTGCTCTTTCACCGCAGGAGGGGGGGGCTCCCCCTCCATTACCCCATCGTTCACGCATTCTAGGTGGAAGTCCCGGAATTACCGGCATTACCCTCGAAAACCCCAGGTGGATTTTCACGGGGGATGTTTTCGCACGTTCGTACACCATCACCACTGGAGTCATGAGCTCATGAATCTTTTCTCTCCCCATATTTTCCGTGAATTATTTGGATTGAAAAAAATTGGAAATAAAACTGGCCCATTGTCATTTCGTCGCAATGGAATCCATTCTTTTTTTTTTTATCCAAGTCGTGTCAACAAACTTTGTAGCCGACTATCCGGCCGTCCCTCGTCTATTTTTCCATGACACAAAACGGGTCAACATTCCACCCCCTCCTGCCCCTCATGTACACAGCGAATCCGTCTGATCCCAGTTATATATTCGCAAACTCACGTTTTAACGCTCAATCGCTCACCAACTTTTATCATAAAACTTTTCAATCCCCTCGATTTTATCCCCATTTCCACGGCACTTTCAACTCAATCGCAAATTCGTTGATTCGTAATTTATATTCAGAGATGATTTGACATTTAATTTGACGCTTCAAATTTTTCCATCTATATCATACTGACGTGCGTCTGGATTTATTGAGAGAGAAATTTCCTGATGATGAGAAATGTTTCGAGAGATATTACGTGCCATGTCGAGGTCATTTGAAGGTTCGGGAGTCCAGAAGAAGGTCGTATGAGGGTTTGTGAAAGTCATGAGAAGGATGCGAGGATGAGATGAAGGGGTGAGAGGGGATGCTTGGCATAACATGCCCCAGAGGATAATTTTCTATCAATTTCCCGAGATCAAAGGTACATACGAGGGACGATTATTTATGATTTGTTGGCGTAAAGCTCCAGCGAGAGTTTTGAGTGTGTGTTGATCGGTGTAAATAGTAGGTTGGGGTGTTCCTGGGGTGTTGGGGTCCATTCCTGGGGGCTGTCGAGGGTGGAATAGTCGGAATAGTCGGTTGTGGGGTCCGCGTGGGAGTGGACGGCTGGTGACGCATTGGAGCGAGGTGTGCCCTACAACGCAACGGACAGCATCAATCCATCCACATAAACGATAAACTCGACTATGCGACGAGAAGGGTGCAAAATGTCGAGGTGACACAACTCTGACATTTTCTCCATATTTTTCTTCACCCACCCCTCGAACATATTCTCGTGGTTCGCCTCACGTTCAGCCCACGAAACATGGATTTTTATGTCCTCATGACTCAGACAACAAACAAGAAATGGAATTAATGGGTTATTTCAGCGATATTAATGAACACTCTGAAGAACATATTCTCGTGTTCTTTTATTCATTTCAAGAATTACTTAATCCTGAATTAATGAAATAAAATATTGAATATTTGGAAAAAGAATTCTGGGATTTTGAGTGATTCTATTGATTTTTCACGTGAATTTTCAATGAAATCGTCACCTGTTCGATTGATTCAGTTGAGATAATTGAAGGATTGCACGTGCAGTAAAATAACTGAACATGGTGTTAGCCGAGTGTTGCTAACACCTCTATTACCCAGCGATTAGCGTGGACACGTGTCACAGAATGGGGATATCTCTGACAAGTGCACGCATTGACCATTCCATCCCCATGTTCCCCAGAATTTCCATAAACACGTATCAAACATATATGATAAAATCGTGGAGTAAACATGTGAATGAGAGGAATGGGAATGAGTGGCAATAGGTGATACGTATCCGAAACCCCAGTGAACTGGAGGGATTAGCCTTGGAGATCGGTGACTGCTGAAATGTTCACAGATCGGTTTACCGTTTAGCAGGATAGAGTGAGTGTGATCCCGTTGGAACCGGCATTTTCATTCCCCTCTGGGGTAACTGTTTGCGTGTGGGAACTGGCATTGTGGCCCACACGTGCCATCAACTGGTTTACAAACACGAGAGTGATGAGGACAGAGTATAAAAGATGGAAAGGGCACATAGGGCGCACAGGGCGCGGTCCATTCCAGCGCATGCGGACCTAATCCTGCACTCATCTCATTTCCTCCATTTTTTCCATTTTTTTCATTTTTTCCATTTTTTCCATTTTCCCTCTGTCTCTTTTTCATTTTTCCTCCAACCAAAATGGCTTTGCATTTTTCCCTCATCTGACAAACAAGAGATAATTACATATTTCAATGTCTTCTTTTTTTTTTGCTGCCGATTTTCAATTTTTGGATGGAAATTATAAAGAATATATGTATCTTGAAATATTGTCATTTTTGTTGAATTTTCATTTTGATATTCTGGATTGTGATTGATTTTCGAATTATTGTGGGATTAAATAATCGATTCTCGTTGAATTCGGGACAGATGCGGAGTTCTCTGACATCTTCGAGGGGTTGTATTTAAGTTCTCGTCGTCTTGGACCTTCGGGTGATGAGTAAACTCCCGAGTGCGAGAAGTTCACTAGGTTTGACCGAGACACTCTCTCTTCATGTTAGTTTGATGTTTCTCAACTACGAAATTTCCCTGAAATAAGAGACAAGGGACACATCCTATCGAGAATTCCCAAATCCGATTGGAAAAAATATTGCTTTGTTCTTAATTTCCATTCATTAATTATTAATTATTCATCACTGAATTTCATGGCTGAATTTTCTATTTTTAATTCATGGTAATTCGATGTTTCAAAGCGATGATGCGATTGAACTCGTCGGAAAATAAATATTGATCTGAAAAAAATAATGGCCGTCATTAACTGGGGAGCTGACTAATTCCCAGCGTTGGATGTATAAAAAATATCCTCATGTTTTTACTAATCACGATGGCGAAGAGCGGTCCACTGTGGTTCGATAAAAAAATAACAACCCCGGGGATGCTCTGAACGTACCCCCACGTATGCACCACTGTTTACGTTTCCCGGTATCGTGAATATTTTTATAAGTCGTATTTATCCGGGCTCTATCGATACTGATGATATTCAAACATTTGGGGTGAACCACCCCTCGAGGATGGTAATTAATTTCTCTTCCACTGCACGCAGACTCCTGACAATTTTTTATTTTCACGAGTTATCTAATCGAAGAAACGGGGAAAAAATGTAGAATAAAATTGAGGAGAAGGGAAATAGGAGTGCGGTCAAGCAGTACGGGTTTTTGGGTGCTCGGGGGATGAATTGGATACAGTACCAACGGGAGTGTGCGAACGTGGGAACGAGCCGGATGGTATCCGCTCAGCCTCATTAATGATGATGTGCCTACCACCCAGTGGCAGAATCCCACTGGAAAGGGAAAGAGAGGATGGAAGCCCGCAAAAGCCTGGCCAACACTTCTCCTGACACACCCTCACTATCCACCACCTCCGAGGTATACCCTCCAACTCCTCAACAACTGTTTCACCCCCGCACCCTCGGTCCAGGTGTCCCTCCAGCTGCACTTGACATTTTATCTCCTGTCATTAATTTTTATCCCGAGACATTTTTTCATTTTTTCCTCAAAGGGAAAAAAAAAACAAAGCAAATATATTATACTACTTCCTATTTCTTTTGAGGGAAAAATATTAACAACTGGCACTTGCATGAGATTTATAGTCGTGGAGTTTAATTGACGATTTCCGATCGGTCTCTCTTGCGTTTCTCCAGTCTTCTCTAATTGCGTGGCACGGTAATTAATGTTTAGCAGTGCAACACGAACGTGGCCCGAGGAAACCGAAACTCCACCCGGACAAGCAGCACCAAGTGCCCCAGCAATCCCTGGTGACAACATTGTCCTCCCATCCGGGATCACCAAGACATGAGGCCAGAGTTGACATCAATCCTCACCTGTTCCCACATCACAGCCCCGTGGTGAATCCCCTGTCGCCTCTGTCAACACCCCCGGGGCATCACGAGCGAACCAGAAGAGACAGAACTGCCTCCCACTTGCTATCAATTCACAGGTGTGTTTTTAAATCCATCTGTCCTTAATTGCTGTGCAATTAAAGTCGAGCATTTCAATGAGTGGATAAATGCTTTCAGGAGATTGAGGTACGTTCCCTATCCCCAGCCACCGTCATTAATGCAAAAACCACCGGATGATGGAACTTCACCGGTGTCGTTTCCCCTTCAGCTACCACCACCCAATCCAGCCCTTTATCACTCAGCATCTGTTGCACTTGGACAACAACCGCCGCTTCTCCAAATTCTCATGTCCGCCGAAAGGTGTCAAGTAAGATTCTTCATTATCTCTACTTGACAATTTCTCTCTCTTTCATTTTCATCTTTGGGCATTTTATTATGAAAAATTTAATTGAATGGAGTACTCGATTATAGCCCGACGGCGAGGGTTCACTGGACCAGACGGAAACAGAAGCGAGCGCTAGCCCGACGGGAACATTGCAAAATTTCAGTCCTACCTGGGAAATGCTGCAGGTAAGGAAATGATTATTTTCTTTTTTATTGATTAGTTGTGGGAGGATGGGTGAATATTCAATACTTGATTGTCAGGAAACCACAGCTAGACTTCTGTTCATGGCGGTGAGATGGGTGCGATGTCTAGCCCCTTTTCAGACATTATTCAAAGACGATAGACTCGTCCTCCTCCAGCAGACATGGACACAATTATTTTTACTGCACTTGGCCCAGTGGTCAGTCTCCTGGGACATCTCAGGACTTCTAGATGACGAACAGGTCAGGAGGAGGCTACCTCCCGATGAAGCTTCCCTCCAGGAACTTCACACCATTCAAGTGAGATTTTTAAATGTCCATTTTTTATTATTTTCTTATAAAAATTGAAAAACAGAAGGGAATTTTCCTTTTCAAGGAAATAATGTGCAGATTTCGGCAACTCTCACCTGACGGGGGTGAGTGCGGATGCATGAAGGCGGTAGTTCTCTTCAGGCCAGGTAAATCTGAAAATAAATGATCTCGAATGGAATCGAGTGAAAATTTCGTGCGAGTTGAAAGCTGTCGGGGATATTTGACTGAATCTACTAGTTTTCTCTAAATTACAGAAACAAAAGGTCTGGCCGACCCTAAGCCTGTGGAAATGCTGCAAGATCAAGCCCAATGTATTCTAGGGGATTACATAAGATCCCGTTACCCTCGCCAGCCGGAGAGATTCGGCCGTTTTCTCCTGTCATTACCAATGTTGCACGCCGTAAAGCCGACGACTGTCGAGCTTTTATTTTTCCGTGAAACAATCGGTGACATTCCCATTGCGCGATTACTCGGTGACATGTATAAGATGGAGCATCACTCAACGGACGGTGAATAGACAATTATTTTTAATTTTTTTTTCCCCCCTCAATATCCACAACCAAACGAACGACAATTTTCCAGATTTCAAGGGAGACTTGGGCTTCAGCATAATAAATCACCCGAAAGTTCCTGATCTTAAAAAATGAGAGAAAAAAAAAACTACGAAAATATTTTACCTCAATTTTTCATGAATTCTAGATTTAAAGAAAAATAATCAAAGCCAAAAAATAATCAATTAAATTAATTACTATTTATTTACCATTTTTCCCTCTAAATCTATTATTCATATCAAATGGCCGTAGAAAATTCACGATATCTGTGCTATTTATCGCTGTAAATGAAAATTTAATGTATAAATGTCTGAATCCACTCATCACTCCGCACTGAAAAAAATATAACTTCTGCTAATTAAATTTATCAGTGGAGAGGAAATTCCTTTGGCAGAAATAATTGTTTTTCTCAGTCCAAGTACTTTATAAATACCGATAACTGCACATAAGTCCCTGTAATTAAAACCAAAACTTGAGAGATCTTGAGGCGTCTGTGATAATTTTCCTTGTTTTATCTATTACATATGATTTCACGAGTAGCTTACGTTGTGCACAGAATTCAGTGTTGAACATTTTCAGATAATTCATAATTAACGTTAAAATATTCATAAAGAACTGTAGATTTAATGATCTCCCTGTATAGTTAAACTTGTTAGAATAAATGTCTACATGGTAAATCGACGGCGTTATTAATTATTCGAAATCATGATTTCGCACATATTTATTACATATTTATTTTTATTACACGTGTGGCTGACAATATTTTTCATCGAGAGACAGTATAAAAGTTTATCAGTTTTACAACATTCATCCTGGTCCCCACAAAAATCCATGGGTCTATCATCTATTGGGGAATGAGTACTCGCAATAATCACGACTAGAATCATAATCACGTTATCCAATTAAACTCAACAAAAATCGAGGAATGACCCTCGAGGGAAGATTAAAATAACGAGATATTTCTTCGTCAATTGTGCTGACCCTGGAGAGCCTGGAAGCACAGTTATCTGGAGATTATGATTCACACGATTATGATTTATAAACTAATTAAGTGGAATTGACAAGCGGATTCATTAAGACTGTTCAAATATTTTTTCTTTTCAATATTATAAATTTTATAATTGAAACCGGTTTCTTTAAAATCATCCAATAATTTTCTGCATTCCAATCAAATATTTATAAAAACCAAGCGTTAAAAAAAATTCATTGATTTGATATCAAATCGTAAAATTCACATGGACGTCCTTAACTCCCCAAAAATCTCAGCGAAAAATTGACTGATCCAGAAAAAGGAATCCCTTCGAAAAATTCCCATTGATATCGACAGAACCTGGATGTAAAACCAGCGCTCTGAGTCAGAAAATTTCCAGATCACAGCTCGTCGTGAGCCTTGAGATGTTTATGAACGAATTCATACAGATCATCGAGAGTTCTGGACCCGTTGTACTCAGAGATTTTTTCTCCATCCTTATAAAGGAACAGAGTGGGAAAGCCATCGACCTCTTGCTCATTACAGAGCTGTTTGCTGGTATCCAGGGTGCAGTCGACTTTGACGATGTGAACATCTCCCCGTCCAACGAATTTTTTTCCCAGCTCCTCCCAGGTGGGGGCAAGACGTTTGCAGTGCCCACACCAGGGTGCAAAAAATTTAATAAAGGTTACGCCCTTCTCGATGCCATGCTTGAACGAGTCACCAGTCAGCGTGAAGACAGATTGAATTTCGTCGTCAGTCTGCTCCTTTTTGTCATCAAATTCACTGGAGCTCTTGGTCAACATTTTGTTGACGTACTCCTGGAGATGCTCGAGTCCCCTATCACCTGAGTACTTGTCAATTTTTTTTCCATTCTCGATCCACAAGAGAGTGGGATAGCCCTTGATGTCGAATTGCTCACATACCGATCGGTACTGGGTGCAGTCGACCTTGGAGATGCTGACGAGGGTGTGATGGCTGTTGGATTGAGCCAATTCGTCCCAGGTGGGGGCCAGCTTCTGACAGTGGCCGCACCATGGTGCGTAGAATTTCACGAAGTGACTACCCGAGGAGACGTGCTTGTTGAAGGTGTCCTCCGTGAGCTCGACGAGGCCATTCACCGGCTCGGGCACTGGGGGCCTGTCATCTGAGTCCTCCGTTGGTACACTTCCTAATTGCTCATTGATAAAAGCAGTGAGTGATGGCAAATCTCTCGTTCCCCTGAATCGGATTCCTGTGTTGTCCTCAGTCTTGAAGAATTTCAATGTTGGATACCCAGTGACATCTTGCTCACTGCAAATACTGCTGTCCGTTGTGCAATCGACTTTGGCAATACGTACTCTGCTGTCCTCATCCTCATTTAGCATTTCCGCCAGCATTTCCCATGTGGGTGCCAGACTCTGGCAGTGTCCGCACCTGAAAAATTAAATGGAACACATGAATGAGTAAAAGATCAAAATTTCTCAATGAAAAATTTTATTTTCTGGAGGTCTTATCGTTATGATCGCTCCAAGTGCTGATAACACCACGTGAATTGATCAGGTGCTTACCACGGTGCGTAGAACATGATGAAGTGGTTTTTTTTTATTACTTCGGTCGAAAAATTCTCCTTTGTGTACTGGACTGTGTGCACATCGTCCTCATGGGCTATTGCCACATTATACAGGAGGGATGCACCCAGGAAAATTAATACTTTTCGGTACATCCTGGATTTTTCCTTTATCCTCTATTTAGAAGGAATGAAAATACTGGGAAAACGCAACTTATGAATTTTGATTATTACTTTTTGTGGATGAAGTACTGTGCTGCGATTTTGTTGGTTTTTCGAGAGATTATGGGGGAGTCAACAGCACTTATGACAAAGGTTAAATAGCGATTTTCGTAGCGGCGATTACAGAACTAAATCCGAGGCCGTACCCGTGAATAAGGCAGGGCACGAGGCCGAGAGTGTCGATAAAGGCGAAGGAGAGAGAGAAAATAATAGGGGAAATTCAATTATTTGAAATTGAAATATTCAAGATGAGAGAAAATATTTGGGAAAACTTTTTCTCCGTCAAATCATTAACTTAAAATAATAATTTGAAATTACTGAAATAATAAACAATCATTTCATCCAAAATTATTTTTTATTTATTAATTTTCTACACTCGAACAGTTGCGAGGAGCATAAATTCCCCTTGATATCTGAAAATTCTTATTTATTAGTAAACTATTTTAAATTAATACCTTGCTGTCATATTTTCTGACCGCCAGAAAAACTCACAGCTACGAAGAAATACGAGAACGTAGGTAAGCGAGAATTTCGTCGGTCCCCTTCATCAAAATCGCATGCCTCGGTTGCTTGAAGCAATTTCCAGAGAGTCTCAAAGTTCTAAACAGATGAATAATCCCATAAAATCACTACACCTCGAGTCCCGCCGGCTGTCGACAAAATATTTTTTACAAACATACACATGACAACGGTTTGACATCGACCTGACGACGAGAGCATGAGCAGGATGACAATCATGACGATATCATGCAATTTAATGCTTGAGGGGGCATTATAAGCTATGAAGGAGAAAATATGATTAAACAATTTAACCACGAAAAACTAGAAGGCCGCGTCGCTCTAGCTGCTAGGGATTTTCGAGGAATAACTCTTTTGCTACTCAATGAATTATCAACAAAAAAAAATCTGTAAAAAAATCAGTGATGAATGTTCCAGAGTATTGACAGGATGGAAACACTATGCAATTACCTGCAACATCAAGCATCCTAAATGATTATTCGAAATAAACATTGAAACAATCATGCAGAGTGATCATTAGCAGAAGCCGCCGATCTTAATTGTCACCTAATGTGCTTCATGTTCCCCAATTCAGGAGGCACATGTGTAATATCATTGTTTGACAGATCCAGGGTAGCGAGTCGTCGCAATTTTCCCAGGGACGAGACGTCTACCTCTGTAACGTGATTGTCGTTGAGAATCAATATCTCGAGGTTTTCTATGTTGCAGATTGACTCAGGGACACCTTTGAACCTTCAATATTTTTAATGATGAAATCAATTATGAAATAATTTTGTGGCGAAGGCGTCAAGAATAACAAGTTCATTCAATATTCACCTGTTGGAGGAGATATTGATCTCCCTCAAGCGCTCCAGGAGTCCCATGCTCTCCGGCAACGAGGACAACTGATTCTGACTGAGGTCGATGTACCTCAGGTGCTTAAACGGCTCCCCAAACCACTCGGGTAAGGAGGATAACAGATTACAGGAAATTTTCATGTCCTCTACTGATTGAATCATTGACAGTTTATCAGGTACTTGCTGTAATTTGTTTTTGCTGAGGTCTATGCAGGTGACTCCAGCTATTTTTGCATCCTCCAGGATATTTTCAGGTACTTCATGGAGCTGTTGACCAGTCAGGCTCAGCAATTTTGTATTTTTCATCGTGTATCTGCCCAAAAACATTGAAAATCATTGAAAAATCGAAGAGAGCAAATGGAGAAATTTTAGAATGTTGTGAAGACACCTCTGCGTACTTATCAGGCATCCGAGCAGCTCCTGGTGATACTGATGAGTGAGAGACATCGAGACTCTCAGAATCAAATCCCTGACGCAAGTGCTTTAGAATTCTTGGAGTTCCACATTGAACGATATCTCTTCTTACGTTCTTTATCTTCTCGTTACCAGTTATTATGAAGTGCTTGAGGTTCGGCATTATGCAGACAAAATTTGGAATTCTGGAGAGTGAACAGATAATTAGGGATCAGCGGACAGGGAACGTGGGAGTACATACAGTGTTAGTTTATTGGAGGACAGATCGAGTCGTTCCATATTCAGAAGTTTTATGATGTCATCGGGGATGACTTCGATGTTATTATGTGCCAGTAGGAGGGACTTCAATTGGCCCATGTCCTCCAAGCATTCCATGTCTATTTCCTGGGGATTAATCGAAAATTCGTCATGCGTTCAGTCTACACCCAGAATAATTACTTGAATCAAATGAATAAGTCTATTCAAATAAATTATATTCACGTTTTGTGAATTAATCAGGTTTGATCCAAATAAATTATTTTCCTGGGGGAAGTCATGCTGGATAATTTAGTGGAGCAGAAATGTTGCAATTAATAATTGTCAGCTGTTAATTTGAAGAAAATTAACGCTTAGAATTTGTTATTTGATAGCACATATTTAAAAAAAATACGTACAAAGATGGAATTGTTGGATAGATTGAGTTCTCTCAAGGCATTACAACCAGTTATATTGGGAAAATTCTTCAAGTTGTTGGTGTGAAAAATCAGAGCTTCGAGTTTCCTCATCTCCCCCAGGGGAGGAACCACCTCCAGGTGATTCGAGTTGGCGTCCAATTTTTGTAGAACTGATCATTTTACAAATAGGCGTTGATTTTTTTTTTCAGATTTTTTTTTTTTAATAAGCTTCAAAGGAATATTCACAAAGGACTGACCTCTCATGCTCATTATATCTGGTGGCAGCTCCACGAGGATATTATGGCTCACGTCGAATGCACACAAGCGCACGAGATACCCCAGACCCACTGGCAGAGCCTTTAGATTATTGAAGGACAGATTCTGGAGCATTGAAATAATAATTATAAAGGTGACAAGGGACTTCTGTGTTTTTTGATCGTACCAGCGACTCTAGCATCACCAGATCTCCTAGAGCAGGGCTTAACTCAGAAAGGTTGTTATGAGACAAGTCCAGATGCTTCAGGTTCTCCAGGGTGAAGAGCTTTTTGTGCATCCTCTCTAGATTGTTGTGAGACAGGTCCAGCTTTCGGAGTTTCGTCAAGGCTCCCATTTCTTTAGGGGTTTCCCCCAATAAATTATCATGGAACTATTGAAAAAATAATCAATAGAGTCTTATGAGTAAAATCTAAGATCCCAAAAAACGCAAAATTCTCACATCCAGCTCTTCAAGCTCCGCTAAATATTCGATTTTAGGATCAATTATTTTGATGCTGTTTCCACCCAAGTTAAGTTTCCTGAGGGGTTCTTGCTCCCACCAGCGTTCCTTATCATCATCAAAATCAAGATTTCTCCCCAACTCCTCTGCTTCCTCCCTCGATAATTGATTTATGTTCCATATCCTCTCAGGTACTAAAAGGTGAAATTGAGAGACCATTGGAGATGGGTTTGCAATTATAAATAAATATAATTCGTACCAGTAGCCAATCCCTTCCCTGAGAGATTGAGTTCTCCCGATCTTCTCGCATCAATAATGATCCTGTGCGATACCTCATCATCATCATCCTTTTGACTCCTCGGCCTGAACAATGCCCGATGATTAACCCTCTTCCTCTCGACACTCATGTTTCAACAGTCGGCTGTCAACTGAAACGTATCACAACAATCCCACGTATTATTAGCTCTTCGATCAGTGTCGGGCCCAACGAACCGTGCGAACCAGTGTCCATGACAATTGTCAATAATAAAAAACCCACACAGTCCCTGAACCTGCACAGATGAATAAATAAATAACGCCTGACAGCGACTTGTATCTCTCATTGTATTGGTGATGAGCTACAACGGCGCCAATGTCGATAAAACGACGATGAGAAAAAGGTTTGGCGTTCAAATTTGCTGGTAAATTCGCGGCGATCGACCTCTGGCGGCCGAGCGTGTACGATCCCCCCCCGAACTGCCCGAACAATGACGCTACCCAAAATGGCGGCCGACGAGTAGGGAGTGACGGCGTCTCTCTGTTTTTCTCGCAATTTTTGTTGATTCCACGGGGAAATCAATGGTAAATTATTCATATTACTATTAAAAATTGTTCAATTGTCACTGGGGGAGAGAGGGAATTGGGGAAATAGATATTTTTTCGTTAGAGAACGGTTATTTGATGGAATGTCGTGTCAAGAATACAAATGGAATTATATATCCAGAAAATCTTTTGAAAAAAATATATTTAATTGAATAACCATCCCTGAACAATTCTCTAGTCATGAAAAAGATCGAAAATCGCAAATTAATTATGAGTTTGGGGTTTTGGTATTTCGCCTGTAACGAAATAAATTCTCGGCAGTTGACCGCTGGCGGCCGAGCCTGTACGATCCCCCCCCGAACTGCCCAAACAATGACGCTACCCAAAATGGCGGCCAACGAGTGGGGAGTGACGGCGTCTCTCTGTTTTTCTCGCAATTTTTGTTGATTCCACGGGGAAATCAATGGTAAATTATTAACATTACTATTAAAAATTATTCAATTGTCATTGAGGGAGGGAGGGAATTGGGGAAATAGATATTTTTTCGTTAGAGAACAGTTATTTGATGGAATGTCGAGTCAAGAACACAAATGGAATTATATATCCAGAAAATCTTTTGAAAAAAATATATTTAATTGAATAACCATCCCTGAACAATTCTCTAGCCATGAAAATGGTTGAAAATCGCAAATTAATTATGAATTTGGGGGTTTGGTATTTCGCCTGTAGTGAGATCAGCGAGAGAAATTCTTGGCGGCCGAGCGTGTACGATTTCCCCCGAACAAAGACGCTACCCAAAATGGCGGCCGACGAGTGGGAGATAACGGTGTGCCTTTGTTTTTTTCGACATTTTTATTGATTCCACGGGGAAATCAATGGTAAATTATTCATATTTCTATTAAAAATTGTTCAATTGTCATTGAATAAGGCAAGGAATTGAGGGCATAGATATTTTTTCGTTAGAGAAAAGTAATTTGATGGAATTTCGGATCAAGACCACAAATGGAGTTAGAGATCCAGGAAATCTTTTGAAAATAATATATTTAATTTCATGACCATCCCCAAATGATTCTCGAGCCATGAAAATTCATGACAATTGAAAATTAAGGATAAATTTGGGACTTTGATGTTTTATCTGTAGAGAGGGTCGGTAAATTATCGTATTTTTTTATGTTTAATGAACAAGATGGCCGCTGGGATGTCGCCACACGAGTTGAACGTCAGTTTATTTCAATTTTTGCCGGTGTGTGAGGTGTGTGAGTGAACGTGAGTGATAGTGCGCGAACAATTGAATGTAGTGAAATTTAGTGAAAAGAACAATGACAATTAGTGTTTTGTGGTGTTCCTGAGAGCTGGAGTTTCATCAGGATCTTCAGGAATCTGGTGAGTCTCTGACCTAAAATTATTATTTTTTTATTTGTTCAAAATTTTCAATGAAGAATTGCAAATTTTTCTGGGGAGATTTTCCGCTTTATTTTCGTGCAGTCAGAGAGAGGAAGGGAAGGAAAATTCTGATTTTTTTGGGAAAAATTTTATTTTTCCCCCGGGGAAGAACGCTGTTTTCTTGATTCTATAAATTTCTTTTCAAACATTGAAAAATAATGGTTGAACGCCATGAGAAATTGAGGAATTTGGTTGTATTTGGTTGTCGATAGTTCTTCTCGTGAAAATTGCTGGTCTCACCGATTCTGTCAAAAAAATTGGACCGATTCACAGCATCTGCACCTGATGAAAAAGTAAATCCATCCATCCGTAAAGTGAACGTGACAATTCCCAACATTTTTATGTCCACCCATTTCTTGTGTCCAGAAATTCTCGCATCGACACATTGTCCCCTCGAATCCAGACGAGAATTCTCTTCAATCTCACATTTCTCTCCCAAGTAGAAAGCAGTGAAAACGAGACGTAAATAGAAACGATTCCCGTGTCACTGAGAATTCGTATTAGTGTCAAGCGTGAGTAGAATGCTCTCAATTTTTCTCCTCAGCGAGATTTCCAGAAATATTATGAGCCATTTTATGGTACATTCAGCGATAAATTGGCTAGATGTTGGGAAACTGTTATAGCTCGTGAAAGGGATCATTGTTCGCGAGTTTTTGTGGATTATTCCGTGAACGAGGTAAAATCGAACGTTAGAATTGGAAGATTACCCCCAAATTCCATCGTTAGGAGTATCTTATGACGTAATAAAGTATCTTTCTACTCCGTGGATGTAAATTTTCCAGATGAAGTGGGGATAAATCAAAAAGTTTTGTCATAACTGGGTAGAGGTGTTCCTCAAGTGCTAAGATTTTCATACAAGTGAGGGTACGAGATTTCATCGCAGTTGGAATCGAGTTGTTTTCATTGTATTTCTAGTTTCTAACCGCGGGAGAATTCATGTATGAATTTTGCGGGGGAAAAATTGACGCATAACGTCATTAAAATATTTTTAATGTACATTTCCCTGTACAATAAAATTACCATTACGAAATTTCAAACAATACATGAAATTTGTTGTCGAATGCGAATAAAGCAATGCGATTTGAATTTCGTTGACAAATATCGATGGTTCCTTGTTTTTTAAAGGATTTGTGGGAAGATTTTGCGAGCTCCATAGGTTTGAAAATCATTCACGCGATTTATCCGGATACATGGGAACGTCCGGACGATATCGCCACGTCGATAAATAATCGAGTCGGTGTGAAGGGGGTGGGTGGGTGCAGGGGGGTGTTAGGGGATAGAGCTGTCGGTCCTTCTCCGAGAGCATCGATCTTCGGTGATTCTGAACTGATGTGCCCTTTTCGTCTGAAATTTACTCAGCAACAAAAAAGTTCACGGCTCGAATCGATTTTCTTGGAGGTAAAACGATCTGCTCTCGTAATTAAAAAAATTTGATATATTGAACTCGACAGCTATTCAGGAATAATCTCGGGGGCGTTGCATTCAGGTGATCAGGCTATTTTGTATCGGAAATTTTGTTGGTGCTGGAGGTTTGCTGACGTCTTTACTTTTCTTGTGCAACGTACGGTCGATTAGAATTCAGTAGTGAAGCGCTAAAGGATAACAAGTCAACTTGTTCCCTAGTCAGGTTTTCAAGCAATATCTCGGGATCCAAGAGAAATAGGAAAATTTTTTCGAGTCTCTCGCTGTATCCTCTGCATAAAATTCAGTTGATCGAGAAAAATCATAGAAATCAATTTTCTATGAGAGAAAAATTATTTTAATGGAACAAAATTCATCGGGAGGTGCTAATTTTAAGGAAAAAATTGGACGAGAGAGATCGATTGAATGTCTCGGTTGTCGGAATATCTTCCACGTCGAATCATCGATAGATCGACTGGCATATACACTCGGGTGATGATATTTCCTATCGTGTAATGACATATAATGTGATGTTTGGTTCTATAAAATGATTGAGTGATCAGTTTGCGGACTGAAGCGCTTCGGATTCTCTGTCATCTGAGATGGTTGAACGATGTGATAGCTCATGTTGAGATTTCCGGATGGTACGTGATCGGCTTGTCGAGGATATCCACCTCTAGGGGGTCAGGTGAAAATACTCCGTATTGCACTTTGTCCGTAGTGTCATACACGGAAAAAAAAAATTCAGTGACGAATCATTGACTGGTGAACGATAGAATAGAATAGTAGAATTTGTAATAATGAAAAATATTGTGTGTACGTCACGAGAGTACGGAAACAATGTAAACACGGTATTTTTGTCGTGATGAAAATTTCCTTTTGTGATTGGATGGACAGGAGAAATAACGGTGTAACATATTTCGGGTGAATTTACACATCACTGGTTGACTAAAATCCAATGGCAATGAAAAATATTCATACACTCGTAAATGTGCTGAGCCATATCGGGCATACGAATTGTTTATTGTATCTGGAAAAAAAAACAAAAACGCACTGCATACGATGGAAAATATATCTCACGTGTGTACATTTTTGGTTGGCATACGCAAATCAATTGTGCACTCTACTCGATGAATTTTTCATCGGTGGAATCACGTTTGCAGGGTGTAGGGATGACAAGCCGATAGCCAAATACAATCCAATAAATAATTAGTTCCGCCATTACGGCTTGACATGATAGCGAATTTTCCATGGATAGATATTGAACAATCAATTATAGATTTTATAGAAATGCATTTATTTAAATTACTTGGAAACATGAATCTGATATTTTAAATCCGAAAAATCGGACAGGCAATTTTTTTGAAATTCAGAGGAAATTCGATTTTATTCAGGTACCTCTCATTTTTTTTTGGGAAATCTTTTCGTTTAAAATGATAGACTATGACGTGTTGTCGTGATCTCGTGTTTGCGATATTCACCGTTCACTTGACATTATCTCTAGTGTAACACACAGCACAAGGGGTCAGTACCACCCCCCAAGAGACAAATTGATCCTAATGTAACGCACATCTTAGGGTTCACATCCCCGACCCCGTGAATTATTGTGTCGCGATTATCTCGTTATTCTCTATCCAGAAACAAGAATTTTTTTAATTTTTGGGACAATAAATTTCTTATCTCATTTTATCTTCCGGCACGATCTATCCATTGACCACCGCTCCATTATCAGGACAGCGTGAGCTCGGGGCACTTTCCTCTCTATTTTCTCAAAACCCTGACCGCCCTTTTGTTGGTTTATCATGCCATCCCTTAGTACTCCATAGGGCTGAAAAGAGATTCGTTGGGAGTTTGTGGTATCATGGACGAGGTACAGCGTCTGTTTCTGATCCGCAAGTGTTCTTTTAGAGATAAGAGTGAGAAAGCTATCTCTAACCGAGACCGGTCGCTTCATTGAAAATGTTTTTTATTTTTAGTGTTGAATTTTTTAATGGGGATGTGCCCATACTGTTCATCTGCGGGATTTTTTTTTTTTGATTTTGGAAAATTTGATATATTTTGAGTCATCAAAGTACACTGCCACCGAATCATTCAATTTAATTGAATAAAAATGAAAGCTTATTTACGGAAGGGAAAGATAATATGGAAAATAACCATCCGGAAGCATATTGACAAAAGTGGTACACCTGTACGACATGAAGTCCGAACCATTTTTTTAATCTTTCAAGACAATGTCCGAGATCCGTATGGTCAATATTTAGTGTATGGTATTTGCAACACAAATCACGTATCGATGCGCGAAATAGAGCGGCAAAATTCATGTGCAGGCAGTGAGTGGTTGTGTACTCTCCACAGAAGTTTTTGAGGGGGAAAAAAAATTCAGAATAAAATGCTGGGATGTAAATCTTGATTATCCCCGGGATCGTGTTGAGCGTTATCCCTCGTTTTCTTTTTTTTTTAATCGATGAGGCAGGGGAAGGCTTACTGGAATTTACATCGATTTACACATGCCCAACAATTGATGATAAAATATTCATTTCGAGAATATTGGTGGTGAGCAAAATCGAACCACGGAACTATGCAGTTTGATCAATGGCATTCACTCAGCGCTGGTGACGATTTTTTTTTTTTTTTGAAATTTGTAGTGCAGAAATTGACAGAGTATTCCTCTTAAAATTGCCAATTTAAAAAATGCAAATTTTGTCTAACGAAAAATCTGCGTGGAATTTATTTACATGTTGTCAGCCTTATTGTCAAAAATTGTTGATCATTCCTCTCGATTTTTCTCCATTCTATATTTTCTTTTTTTCCTTCTGACTTTATCGGAAACAGGAATTTTTATTCTTCACAGAGAAAAATCAAATGGTAACTTGACATTCGGTCGATTCAATTTTCCCGAGATATTTGAAAAATCAAAACATTAAAAATAGCTGAAAAATGTGGTTTCCGTGAAAACAACTGGCCCCCGGGGGAGAAAAAATCCCAAACGATTCCCTTGACATAACAACCTTAACAGTTAACCGTATTGTTAAGCGTTTTTCCCACTGGAATTTTATTTCCCAAACAAAGTAGAGGGTGAAAGAGGCGGAGGATTGGGTAATGGGTGATAGTGGAGGCCTCGGGGTACGCCCGATTGGATTACAACCGCCTGAAACGTGTCAGGTCGAAAATACACGTGACCATCTGCGGACCAAAGCCCCGATATGCTGACCCTGTTTGTCCTGGAAATTTCATAGTACCACCTGAACAATTTTTCATTCCCTTTCACGTCCACTCGATAATCGATTAGTACTCTATTACACGTTGTTAACCCTCTCTTATCGGTAAATAATGTCAAAGGGACGTAATTTTGTCGTTCAACCGATTTCATCGGTCTCTGGGGCTCTCTCGATCGGTCAACGGGTCATCGAGGTGGTAAAATCAGATGGAGTGGAGTCATGCGGTTGAAAATAATTCAATTCAATAAGTGACGTAGGGTGACACCGATGAACATCCGGAGGAAATATTCTACGTTAATTTATCGGTCGATCGTTTCCTCTGAAAGCATTTCTTGCGATTTAAATTTCTACGCCATTGACTCGCGCGGGCTTTTTACATTTTCAATTAAATTTTTTGGTGGGCAAAATTCAAAGCAAATTACCAGGAAAAAACGATAATAATCATCAGTCTTAACTATAATGAAATTTTATGGAACAAAAAGGAGAATAATGCACCATCTGCATAAAAATTGTGGAACGTTGGAAAATTATTCCGTTATTTTTACTGAATATTCATCTTCGTGGTGAAATATCAATTTTTTTTTTGTGCCTTTGAGCTCTCATGAACAGCAGTAAACTGAAAAAGTAAAGTAGGTAACGAGAGTGATGCCTCTCTGCAGATTGCAACGTGTTAAACTGTTTCACGGCCAGTCGGGCAAGCTTGTTTCGTTATCTCTCCTGAGAGGCTTTGAAACTTGAAAGGAACATGAAAGAAGATGATAAAAAGACAGTTAAAGGGTGTAATGTGCGTTACGACAGTGGTTAATGCCTCCTCCATTTTTTTTTCACCTCTGCTTTGCCATTTACTCTCGTTCCTTGGGCTAAAAAAAAATTGTCATCAAAATATATTTGTTCAAATTTTTCAAACAATTTGTGGAGGACAAGGCAAACGAGTATCTCATTAGGTAATTAATCGTAATTTTACCTGGATATTTTTATTCGTGGGGTACTCTTCTCTGGGTATCCACAAGGGATTTAACTTTGTCGGATGGATCTTAGGGGTTGAAGGAGCAGTTTTGTTGGTCGACGCTGTGATCAAATGCGAATTCAACGTCAGAACTAAAGTACCTGGAGGGTATCAACTTGCCACAGTGGATAATGTCCTCTTCCATCTTCCTGACTCACAGCAAACTGGCATTTATTCCGAGCATCGCCCAAAACGTATGGCCTCAAATTCTACTCCAGCCCGAATTTAATGAAAATTTATTCCTCATTAGCCAGTGATTAGCAATGGATTAGGATTGATCTGAATTTGCTTACTTTTAGGATCCCTTGAAATTTTACTGAAGCCGTACTAAAAAAAAAAGTCGTTGGATTTTTTCTTTTCTTTGAACTCCTCGGTGAAATTATCTTATCATCCTGAAGTGGGCGATTATGTGTTTGAAAAAATGAGTGGATAAAAAATGGTAACAAGAGCTTTTGGATTTCCAAGTATCTTGGCTCTATCCCCAGATACTATCCAGCTTTTCCGTATAACCGGTTAAACGAGCACGAATCGCTGAGGCAATATTTCAACGTCCGAATAAGAATTTTCAGGCGATCCACCCGGGGGCCACAATCCACTCTCACGATCATATCACTTTTTATTTTAACTTCTTATTTTTTGTTACCGATGCGGGGGCATCAGCACTAAATCCACCCTTTGAGGGGGTTAAATTGATAATTCCTCCCTTTCTCTTGGTGATTCTCTCAAAAAGAATTGCGGATGAATGAAGACGAGTGGGGTTGGAATGCCTTTGTAGTGCAAAGTCCATTTATTCCTTTTTTTTTTTTCATTTTATGAAAGGCATTTATGGTTTTTTGTTTCAGGAAGCTGAGGACAACTCGACAGCGGATAGAATGCGGAGAGATTCTACCCGGTGAGTCAAGCTTTTTTTTTATTCTCACTTTTTACAATCGATTTTCTAAATTCCTTCGGAGTGCACGTGTTTTTGGCACAATTTCACGTCGGAGTCATTCATAATTATCCGCCGACAGTTGATCTAATTATTTAGGGAACTGCGAAATTTAATCTCCAATCGAAATACCGCGAATAATTTTCTACCATTGCCATTACACCTTGGAGCTTTCTTAATTGTTTATTGTCATCGTATAATTGAATTTAGGTTGGTACCATCAGTATAATTATGAGTTACTTCACAGTTGAGCAATATTCCCAGCGGCAATTAGCCGTTGTTGACAAACCCAATTTGCGAGATGTAACTTTGTGGGGGTATATAGACAGTGTGGAAATGTTCGCGACATGAAGAGGTGAGGGCCCATGGGGGAGGGAAAGTGCAGGCCTATAATTTCGATCAGGGGAGGAGCTATATTCCTAAATAAATTGTAGAGTCCAGTGCAGTAGAATTATGGTCGCATATCCTCTCAATTTTTTTTTCTTTGTTCTCTCAGTATTTAGGAAGAATTATAAAATAGCGTTGAGGTCCTATTCCTCGAATTACTAGTGCAGTAAAATGCACTCTAGGAATTTAGGGGTATCTAGCGTTGAGTGTTGTCTCTGATTAAATACCCGCGAAGTCGTGATCGTCGGCAAGACGATGAAAGCCGTTGACTTTGGTCTTCCCCGTCAACTGTTGATGTAGGATACGTTGAGATACATCTCAGATACATTGGTGAGATGGAATTAAATGGATGTGGGTTGAAAGAGGGGTAAATTTACAAGGGTTGAAGTGAAATTGTCGAAACGCACCGACTCGTGCACGCGATCTTGTGGGTAACTTGAGAGGGTTGACGTAATGAGGTTACTGAGCAATGCAACTGCCAGTTTTCGGTTGAGGCACGTTATTCCTAGCAGACTCAATCCCAAGCCATCTCTTGCTCGAGTGTTGGTCCTTCCTGATGAGTAATCTCGTATTCTCTTGGGTTTCTTTGCATTTACAGATGAGATTGGCTCGTTGATAAATTGTGAAGGGAGAGAAGATCGAGGGTATCGTGAAAATATGGAAAATTGGAAATGTTCAAGTCATTGTTTCATTGTTTGAATTTTCCGGAATATTTGAGTGCTATAAAATATTAAAAATGAAAATGAAGTTCGGTAATGACAAGTCAAGTGTCGAATTTATCAATTTTCCTATATTTTTTTACATTCGGTGGAGTTGAATCCGCGCTTCTAGATTGATTTCCACTTTTATTCGAAATTAAGGGTGAGGCACTCATTCAGTAGGTGTATTTTACCCCGTGAATCTGCGACCCCTGTTATCTCAATAGTTAACAACCAAATGAATACACAGTCACACCAGAAACATTTTCAGTTCTTCATTGTCAGTGTTTGGTGGGATCATTAAGTGAATTCACCACCCGAGTGTACACTTTCATTCTCGTTATTATGCTATAAAGGTGGGGTGCGATAGGATTTGAAAAAAAAATCATTTTTCTTTGTTCTCCTACTGATGTGATAGAGAGGTCGACTATTTGGAACTCGTGAGTTTTCCCAAAAATTTTCAGTATTGGTACTTACGGAGGCACACTGAAAAAAAAACAATTAAAATTGAAATTATATTCATTTCGACGATTTTTTATGACACAATATACTATTAGTTGTCTTCATATTTTTCATGCCCATGAAAAATTAAAATCCATTGTATTTATTCAAGTTATAACTCAAACGTACTTTAATAGTCGTGTCGTTGAACCACGAGTTTCCCATAATAATGGAAAATTCAACTTTTCTTAGTGGTTTCCCCCGTAAATGGGTTGGGAATATCCGGAAAAACCCAGAGAGAGAGTGAGAGAAATAGGTTGACATCACTAGAGAAAAAAAAAAATGGAGATAAAAAAAAGAGGCAGAAGCCAGCGCCTGGCAACGGGTTTCGCCTCTGAAGATGATAATGAAAAACGTGACCTCGACGAAGCCATGACTTTTCTCAATGTTGGCTATCACCTCTTCTCTCTCTTTCTCTCTGTTAAATGCCATTTAAAATTGTATCGCTAAAGTGACGGGTCGATTTTAAAATAAATTCAACCGCGAAAAGTTGATCAATAATTTTTAAAAATTCTTCATCCCCCCATGAATTTCGATTTCCGAAGAATCATTAGAAATAAATTTAATTAGTTATTTAACATAATTTTTCATTCGTTTATTGCGCTTTATCAATCGGAGAAATTTAATTACTCTATTGATCTGAAGTCATCTGAGAGTTGACAAACGCGCGTGTGAGTCGCAATTCGTAAAGTTGGCGGATAACAATTCGAATAATTCATACGTGAATTTCCAATGAATTCTCCAATCAGTCGATCGATCGTAACGTCCACTGGCTCTTTAGATTGCGTACGGAGAGGTAACGAGAATATCGGTGGATTGTGTCTGATTATTTCAAAAGCCCCGGTGTCTACCACACATCCGTAATTCGCCATTGGCAATACGAGTGCAATCACTCGACGGTAAACTTCAGAAGGAGATTATGGCTTGAACTAGTTGTTCATTGGGTTAATACCGATTCCACTCAATTTTTTCCACACGCCATGCCCACACAATGATCTGTTTGAATCAAGTGAAATCCATTCGAAGCAAATCAATAAATTGCAATAATAATTCGCAATCTTCAATACCAGATATATCTCGATAGAATGATATGCAAACAGAAAAAATATCGCGTGTCGATGTGTAAACAACAACGGGATACTAAATTCCTTTCTATCTGAGGTGTTGACGTGAAAAATAAATTCCAATGGAATGAAACGAGAGATTTACTGAAAAAGCCTAGTGGTAGGACGAAAAATTCGGCATTTTTATTTTCGCTAGTTTTTGCTGGGAACTTCACGCCTTTTTTTTCATTCTATTTTTTTTTTTTTGTGAATCACTGGAGTGAAAAGTCGAACGTCAAACAATATGGGGAAAATCTAGGACTTTAGTTGGTGAGGGTAGGGCTTGGCTTATAATTGAATTGGATCGGTTGAGGATGGTGTGAAGCAATGGAGAGGTATAAAAAACCATCTGTATCTGTTCCCCAGTTGAAATGCCCGTCGATTTTGCGATAAACAAAGGGCCGATCAATGGTGGATAGTCGGGAATTTTCTGTTCTTTCACCGATATATTTTTTTTTGTCCTCTTGTCGGATAAATTGAGAGACGGTCGGGGTAAATTACGAATCTGTTCAGTGAGGAAAAAAGAATTCCGCTTGAGAGAAAAATTAATTAACTTTATTATGCAGAGAAAAAAGTTGGTCGGTGGTAGAGAAGGAGGAGAACTATTTCAAAGAAAAAGAACATAAATTTCCTTGAATCTAGTATTTTTTTTTTTTGTGCACCATCGAGTCCGCGATCTTAACAATCTTTTTTATTGAAATATATGCAATTACCCTTAATTTACTGTATCAATTACGGAGCTTGAGACTCTCTTTTTTCCCCTGTCCTTTTTTCTCTCGCGATAAGAATATTTCTCCTGAAAAAAAAAATATTCTTATCACGAGTGAAGAGGTCGTTTATCCGTACGATCTCCAGCTCATTAATTTTCCGTAACACGAAATCCTAGACTAGACTGATTTCTTTGAAAAATAATAAATCATTTTTTTCATCTTCAATGATTTAATTTACGTGGGAGAAATTCAAACGGGTGGATTGACTTATTCCCTCGACTCGCTGTATAAATTCACACCAACAAATTTCTTAAAATTTCAATGTCGAGGGAATATAAATGAATATAAAACGCGTAAAAGCTTAAAAATTTATTCCCCCACATGGCGCATTGGTATGGATATCAGTGAATGCCAGCTGCGACTGAAAAAGAGCCGAAAAATATTTGGTAGGTGTGACGGGGGATTTTAGCCTGACATTCGCCATTTTTTTTCTCTCACCCCTCTTTTCCGTTGAATTTTTATTTTTCCACCTGCAACCTTCAGCGTTTTTTTTTCCGGCTTCCTCCGCAAATAGAGCGCCAGTTACGAAAACGATTTACAGATGCGGTCACAGGTGGTCAGAACCTATGGCTGACCAAACGCTGACTTTACTCCCTATTGTTTCATGGGAAAATTGAAAATATCCAATTTCTCTTGGTCAATCCGATGCTTATTCTTTATTTTTGTTGTGTAACTGTCGTTGCACCGCAGAAATCAATTTGTCAAATTTTCATGAATATTTGGCAGTTTTGGCATGCGATTGAAATTTTGGCTGAATAACTGGGAAATCTCTATGAAAAATTTGAAATTTATTTCATGAACTTCTAACGTGAAATTGGCTATTTTTTTTAAATTTCAATAGTTCATTCAAATTTTAAGATCATTGCAAACGACCTAATGAACGCGCAATTCCTCATTTTTTTTAAACTTGAATTTTTCATCGCAACTGGCAGTTCTTCGTCTGTATAATTTCAGTGTAACTCCTCGGTAAATGAGTTGGCTCGTTGCTCGTTCGCTGTGCAAATACATTTGCTTGTACATTTTAACAGGTTACATTTGCACAAAACTTGGAACGCGAAATTGCTGGTGTATCATGATCGCGGTAGAATGAACGTGTGTCGGTTAGATAGAATAACGGGGTATAAAAGGGTGTATCACAGGAATAATGCGAAGTCCGGATTGAACAATAAAATGGAGGATGGAGGTCTGGAAATATGATTTTGAGTTATGGTGGTTTGTGGGGTGCGTCGTAAAGCCGACGGGTTCTCGGGCTTTTATGAAGGTCGGGTTGTGAAAGTAATATCGAGTGATTGTTTAGGGCTTCCCATTTTTTTTATGAACAAATTCTTAACACCATTGAGAAGCGATTTTTTTTTTATCTATTCATGAAATTTCGGGGACATGAAATTTTTTTTAATTTCGGTAGTAAATTGTCATTTGCCTGACGGAAATTCATTCGTTCTACTTCGGGGCGTTTGTATGCCATTTGTGATATTATTTTTCAATTTTTTACAAAGGAATTTTGATTGTGAATTTTTCAATTTCGATAACAAATTGTTTTATTACTCTGTTTACTGTCCAATTGAAAAGTTAAATGCCAATTATTTTGCATAACTCTGTTTTGAAAGCATTTAAACACTTTCCATCGGTGAATGGCAATCGAGCACTCATCCGCATTTAAACTAGAAATATTTCGATGAAACCGTCAGTTGAGGGGATTGAAAAAACAATGCAGCAGTTAACAACTTTTGGCATTTACGTTGAGGATTAAATAATTCAGGGGATTTTGTGCTTGACCCGTTTTTCTCAATCCGCATCTAGTAAAACGGTTTATCTGAATAAAATAAAAAATTTGGTTGGCATTCCATAAATCATTTAAATTAACAATCGATATGCGAAAAAATGGTATTAACAAAGGATAAATGATTAATTAATTGTTAGTAAAAGAATTTCGTGGAAAATGTTTATTTATTTGATTCAGATAAACCTTCACTCCGAATGTATTTACAACGATTAAGTTCAGTTGAGCATCCAGATGGTTTCGTTGAAAATTCCCACTATTGCTCCATGAAAAATCAACAATTTTTTTCATCAGTAAAACCACTCTGATCAGTTGATAAATAATTCACATTCCCATCAATTTCGAAACGTACGGTAATTCACCGCGAAAATATGATTGCCACCAGTTGCAATTTAACATCGGGTGAAAAAAAAGCCAATAAAAAATAACTGAAAAATTTTTGAAAAATACTCATGCATTACTCGCTCAGCAATTTTCATTTAATTACTGAAAAATAAATAGCGCACGCGGAGAAATTTCAAGGAAAGTCGGATATTTTTTTAAACCTGGGGTAAAAAAAAAAAGAATGGCTTTAGACAACGCAACGGATGTGACTTTAAAAAATTCGACAGTCCTATTGCCGCATCAATAGGTGAATCCTCGGGAGAATACACACAAGTTGAAATAAATCCTGTGGGAGCAGTACTTCCGTTTCCTGTTCGGTTGACACGTGTCGCCAGTTTCAATGCGTTCGGATGTTGCTCCTCATGCGTGAATTTTATTTATTGCTCGATCGAGCTACGTCAAATCGATTGAACAAGAAATAAGAGATATTGGTGATTGTGACTAGAAACCATAAAATTCAAATATTTTTATATTCTTCCAATAGCAGCCAGTAAAGCGCCACAATGTCCCACAATCACTCGATAATTACCGCTAACCGTTCCTCTAATTGACGTTTTTTTTATTAATGGGCGTTTGGATTATTATTGCAATAATGCAATGATTAAGGCATCAGTCTGTTTCATCGGGTTATATTTCACTGGATAATCTCGTTAATTCGGACAAGAGGAATTTATTCAGACTTTAATAATACCGAAAGTAACATGTCAATTATTATAACGACGTCTCTGTAACCCACGGATCCTCTGTAATTCAATGAGTGTACGTACACAAGTTAAATTTGTCTAGCATTTCAAAAACTGGAAGTGGACTGTATCCACAACTCAGTGGAATACAAAATACGAGAAATGTGGAAATAAGGGGAATGTGGTAACAATGTCGAGTATCATCACACAATTTTTCCTCTCGCGAATTCTCGAGTCATAATTAATTATTTCTTTTTCTTAATCATCATCTATTTATTCGGGTTTACCCAAAGAATTTCAATGTCCACAATTCTCGGATTTTTGTGAATTCGAAGATCAATCGCGATTATTATTTACAACGAGAAAAAATTTTGATGCTGGGAAAAATAATTGAATATTATTTTTAATAACATTGAAATGTGAAATAATTTGACAACTAGCAACCGTTAAATTCCTGGTCTCGAAGTTGAAATAATTTAGTTAAATTACCGTGAAATCCAAATTTACATTCATAACTAAACATTTTCATGAGTGTCGCGCCATTGACAAAGACAAAGAGAACAATGAAACGATCGTATGAACACGTAATGTCAAAGCCGGCAGGTTGTTAGCTGTTGCAATTAATTCAGTATATAACAATGTTACAATTACACCGAGTCGAGACATCATTGGCCATGATAAGCCGGATGTTTGATTTCACGCGTTCCAATTATTTGTCAACTATTCGAAAATTGAGGGAATACCAGAAATTTGTCTAGGAATTAATAAAATCAAAATAGTTCCAGTGATAATTCAAATATTGCGAATTCTCCTACATTGATATCAAAACCCGTTGAGGGAATTAATCTCTCAATTACGCATCTCAGCTCATATCTTTTTATTAATTTTATTGTGTCAATTGATTTTTCCATTTTCATTGCCCTGACCATTTTTCTTCGGCCAAAGGGATTTCTTTTTTTTTATTAACCCATGAGAATTATATCGAGGAGTAATAATTTTGTGCGAGTGTACACTATTGATATTGAAGTCATTATATAGTTGGGTATTGTCTTGGTGTATATAGGAAATGCGTCGGTTCCAGTTGCACAATTCTGGTTTCGGAGTAAATGGCGTTGGGTTTTAGATTCTCGTACGACCAACTGCCGATTGTTGGCCAGCAAATGGTTTCACCCGTTCATGCAAAAGCCAGATGTGCTTTTTCTTTATGTTATATCGATATGGCTGACTGCCGTAGAAGTTTTATTTCCCATTTTAAAATCTCGACGAGGTTCATTCTATTCAGGGCTGTCGTATTATCAAAGCCTGTCCACCGCAGTCTTCAGTCAGGTGCCAATTATCCCTACCTTCATCGTCGTTATTTATATCCACATTTTTTACGACATTCCATAAACGGATTGAAAAATTCCATAATGTTCACACCACGTTCGATTGTAGAATTTTGTAGAATTTTGTCGAATTTTGTCGAATTTTGTCATTTATCCCCATCGGAATTTTGGGAAAAATTATTTTTCTTGAATTAAATAAAAAGTCGGTTATGTCAATGGAGACATTAGTGGAGATCGTGAGTTTTTGGAATGACGGTATTTTTCCTAGGGGAGTGAGATTTTTTTTTTTCGCCATCGATGAAGTTCGGTTTTTATCGCTTTGAAGGGGCAAAGTCAGGAACAAAACTCCTTTCGCTATGAAAATTAATTTTATACTCTCAACTAATTGGATAAACTTGTGTCGAGCGTTTCACAACTCTGTTATGAGTAAAACTTTGGATCAATTAATATGTTTAATTCAATCCTTTACTTTACACTCGGGTGCATGAATACGAGGGGCTTGTGTCGGGGGTTAAATTCGTTTTGATGAATTAATTTTGGAGAGCCACATGTGAATGGCACTTCCAGGATTTTCATGTTCTATTTAAAATGCCATTTTCTTTGTTAACGAGGATGGATACAAACTGATGTATTTCCATAATAAAAGCGGTGGTAAAAAGAGTGATGGGAAACGGGGGGAGGCCGTTTGTGTTAATTGGAGTGATATTTGCAGAATATCTTCAAAGCGGAAGGATGGTTTTGATTTCTGACTGTTTCGAAATTTCCATTTCGGTTGAGCTCATAATTTTTCATGTGTCCGTTAGCTTTGTAAAAGTACGAGCCGTTTGAGAATTCGAATATCCGCTTGAACTACTTCCACATGTTATTGTGATAATACACTTTCTTATCAATCGACAAATATGTCGGTTGTTGACTGTTATTTTCTGGAATTGAGAATGGAGTTGTCCTTGAAAATAATGACGGGAGTTATCAGATAATACGGATTCGCTGAAATAATTTTCCTCCTGTTTAGTGAATGGCTTTCAAACATGGAATCATTCTTTGAATAATTAACTATTTTTTTTTCTCGGGAAAAAGATTAGAGATATTCAGGCAATCATCAATTTTATTGAAGAACAAGATAAAGTATTGAGGATAGAATTCTTTCTGTAGTAGAATGCAATTATTATAAACACTAGAGATAAATAAAGTAGGAAGTGACGGATTACTTCTCTTCCTTCTTCTTACCCAAAGCATCTAGTTCCGAATCGGTGAGCTCATTTATATGGCCCCAAATAATTATATCATCTTTCTGGGCATTTTCATTTCCGTGACTTTTGATACCGATCCTTAAAGATGCATCACGAAATCCCTTTTTTAAAAGGGTAAAAGTGTCAGTCCTATAGATTAATTCTGAGATTAATGGATACTCCCCCTGGACATAAAGCAATTGAAAAATCAATTAATTAAAATTCTCTAGAATTTTGGAATGAAAAATAAATGAGGCTTACAACAGCGACGGGACAGCCATCAGCTCCTACGAGATCAAATAGAATTTTAATAATGAAAGCCTGATTTGGATTAGGATCAGTATCACAAACGACTCCTTCTACCGGTCCTTTCTCCGTGAACACATTTTGTAGAATACTTGCTTTGAACTGGAGAAGAAATTATTGATATCGTAATTAAATCGTGTGATTAGGTAAATTTATGGATTTGTTTACCGTATAACCAGTTCGGTCTTTGTTCACGACAATTATGGTCTTGTTGGAATTGTCGGTTTTAACGCTGACATTGTCGATAATAGATGTAACTGTCACGATATTTACCCAGTAGCCCACACTGCTTCCCTATAATTGACAAAATCATTGGTTGTGCTTTAAAATTGATCAGTGATTATCGAGGTTTGAAAATTATTCGATGGATCAATTTTTTGTTGTTTCACCTGGTGCACAAGGCAAGCACCAAAAACTATCAGGAAAAATGAATTCATGTTGAATTGAGTTTTTGAACTGTTCGTTGTAGTTTAAAAGTGACAAGTGACACTGCAATTGGAATATCGAGGGCTTTTCTGCTGCTCATTACTCCTGGTAATTGTTGAGACGGTGGTTTTTTTTTTCTAATCATTTTTCAGTTGTTAATCATCATGATTAGGAAAATAGAGGGAAAAAGGCGCGACATTTTTATTTCACGAAGGGAGTTGAAAAAATAAGTGAACAATGCTTTGGATGAATTAATTATTTTTATTCAAGTAATTGTTGATGTTTTATTGGACAACGAGATTCTCAGTATTTATTTACCATCCAAAAGGGCGTCTGCCTGCGATTCTGTAATTTCATGTACTTCGACCCGAAGTGTGACATCTCCTTCTGTGGCATTTTCATTACCCGCACTGTAAGTGTTGATATTTATGACGGCATCATTAAATCCTTTGGGTAGTAGATCAAAAGTATCGGTCTTGTATATCAACTCCTTGATAACCAGATACTCCCCCTGAATGAACATAAATAAATCGATAAATTGACTGTCACCAGTTATCAATTGAAAAGTGAGTGAACCTCACAGCAGGAATGGGACAGCCTTTGACTTCCAAATGATCTAACAAAAGGTGAATTATAAAAGCCTGACGATCATCCGGATCAGTATCACAATTGCTTCCATTGATCGATCCAATCTCATTCATCTCTCGCAGAACCTTTGCTCTGAACTAAAACCAAAAATCGTTCCCTATACCGATTAATTGAATTTTTGTTCAATTCGTGAATTTATTTACCGTGGAACCTATTCGATTTTCTTTGAGTGTCACTTTGATGTCGCCATCATTTGGATCGTTATTTTTTACTGTCACCTTATCAATACGGGATTCAATCGTTATAATCTCGGCTTTGTAGCCCACACAGATCACCTAGATTTTCCAAAAAAACATTCATTATGGTTGCATTTAATATGGCGATGGAATTTTTGTTGTTTCACCTGGTGCACAAGGCAAAGAGCAAACACAATCCACACAATTGAATTCATGCTGATGGTCTTTAGACTGTTCGTTATCGTTGCGAAGCAACTAATGATACAGAAACCGTAATATAGAGGGGCTTTTTGTTATCCGTTGTCCCCGGCAATTGCTGAGACAATGTTTTTTTAGTAAGAATTATACTTTTTTTCAATGAGCGTGACTAGGAAGATAACAAATAATGGGCGAAATAATTCTGCTTTGGAAAAAATAAGTCAGTATCAAATATTTTTTCTATTCTTCAATTCTCAATTGTCCTTTCGTCGAGTAATTCATTTATTTCTTATTCATCTAAAATACAGAGAATAACATGTAAGTCAGACGATTTATTATGCGTCCGGATAAAATGTAGAAAAAAATTCATCAAGTTCGTTTTTTTTTTTTTTTCATTCGTTTATCGCGATGAACCAAATTGCATCTGCATCCGCCGAACCGTCATTATCTGGTCCATAAAGACCAATTGCTGCATATGCTTGAGTAAAACCTGAAGGTAAATACTCTTCAAGGGGACTTACTTCAATTTCAAATTCGTTCACCACCTCATATTCACTCTGAAACAGCCGATAAATTAATCTCTGCAGGTCTTAGGATTATTGTGTTAAAAATTCAGTTATTGATATTCAAAGAAAATTCAGGTTCTTGAAGTGAGGTGTTCTTAATTGCTGTATTTACCACAGGGAGAGGGCAATCATCGTAATTCATTGCTGTACGGAGTATCTGGGCAATGACTGATTCTGCGGTTTCGTCGTCTTCCATACAAATTTCTCCTTCGATTTCTTTTATTTCCTCGGTGGGTCCTATGATTGCTGTTTTGAACTCGAACATTGAAAGGATTCGATTTAAATTTCAAGTGCTCGATTTATCACTCCCTGTCTCTAATATCGAAAGAATATTTTTCGATTACACACAGAAAAATTTATAGAGTCAAATTTGTTCTGACTTTTTTTTGGAATACAAATGTTACGATATATTTTTTTTCTGTGTATTTCTACTCACCCAGAGGTTTTCTCTTTCTTCAGTAATCGTAATTTTCCATCCATTTTCGTCATCACTCACTTGGTACTCCGGAATATTAGATGTTATTCCTTTGACTTGGACTGTGCATCCCGCGATCTCTAGAATCTAGGAAAATACAATTATTACAAATGATTCTGATTAGGGAATAAAAGTTTTGATGTCGTCACCTGGTGTCTAAGGCAGAGAGTGAAAAAAATATACAGAATTGCTGTCATTTTTCTTCTATGTAATGGACTGTTCGTTATCACGTTAGACACAAGATTGTCTAGTTTTTCCTCATTACCACTGGCCTAGCACATTGTTTTTTATCACTGAACCAATTGGTCATGCCAATAATCATTCCGTGGAAGGAGATAATGAATTGTGTAGTGGAGTCCTCATTAAATTGAAAATGACAAATTTCTCAATTTATTTCTTCTCTCAATTCTCATTTCCTTTTCGTTTATTAAATTTTTTTGGTTCTTCAAAGGGATATTTTAGGGTATTGTACAAATATTATTAGGATAACGTGAGAATGTCGAAAGCCCGCAGATGCTGTCAACGACATCTTTCCCTCGAGGGTTAAACGTAGGATATCGCATATTGTCTCCACACATTGACACTTTTAATTGTCCGTCTATCTTGAATGGTGGTACTAAAAGGGTACGTCGTTGTGACAGGTGATATGAAACCCACTCGTAAGACCATATCCAACATCAATGACAGATATTACAGTAGAACAGGACTTCCAACAGTGGAAAATAGGAAATCCCCTGGGAGTCACGTACCAATTAACTCGTCACGTTCTATTTCCACTCGGCTTCACTGACGAGCGTTTAAAAAAAAAACCCGAGAAGGAACAGTGCTCCAGCAATTTACCCGGAATACCCAATTCATTTATTATTATTGTCTACTGTTATTACATTTCATCTCGTGGTACACCTCGGGTTATTTTTCTCGGTTGTCTCTGCCATTTTCTGTTGTAACAATTGCCACTTTCACACGTTCACCAATCTGCTGTAAATACTCGGCGAAAATTTATTTTTATATTTATCCGGGTATTGTATCGGAAATTATAATTTTTCAGGTGAAAATGATCTTCTCTTTTCACAGAAAAAAATGCCATTGGGGAAAATGTTTTTCGAAAGAAAGTTTTCTCGGGATATCGATAGAGAAATTTTCCGTCTCGATTGCGTAAGTTGTTACATAATTTTTCTGAGACTTTTTTCGCATCTCTGTGACGTTCTTCTTCCTGACTTTTTCTCTTTGAGGAAAGTAGACAATGGCCCTGGGAATGGCCGAATCCATTCAGTTTTGGTCAATACAACTCTGTCTCTTCCTCGAGGGATAAAACTTTTTCCTCACCACTGGTTTTTTTAATCTCCTCCTTTTTTCCCTCAGTTTTCTCTCAATATCACACACTTCATATGGGGTAGGGGAAGAACAGCTGGACACGGGCACTGGTTTGATAACAGAACTTCAATTTCCGGAGAAAACCGAATTATTTTTATATTCTAAATTGATTGAAATTGAGAACTTCAATTTCCGCAAACTTTTGATTATTTTTTTTCTCAACGTTTATAATGACTGACACATACTCTCATTTCAAACTGATACCGGACCGTTGATGGACACCTTTCAAGTACATTAGTTTAATAAATGAAAGCGTAATTGATAACGTTAAATTTTTTGGGAAAAAAGTTTGGTGTTAACTCGGTGGAAATAACGCTGGATAAAGTTTTTCCGTTGCTTCATATACAGCAACAAAGTTGAGAATTTCAATCCGGGAAAATGTAATTAGAGTCGAGCAAGTCTATCATGAGTTTAACTTCATTGAAATATTTTCATCTGCACTCAGACATATCATTGAGGACGCATTTTATTTCATCTTATTCAAGAGGGCATTTTTAGGGTAATCAATGGATTTCAATGAATCATTAATTACGGTCTTACCTCAAGTGCGATTGGAAACGTTGGGACAAAACATTGTTTGAAACAATCTAAATTCTCCCTTTGGAAATGGCAAACCTCTGGATTAGAGCTGCGACCCCGATGGTAAATAAACGTGTGTTTGGTTTAACGTGTGCCCTCGAGGCGTGAATTACAATTTCCACTTGGAAGAAGCATATGTCTGCAAACCCCCAAAATATACCTTCTTGTTTGGTTATGCTAGGGTTTCTTGGGGGGCGTGTCACTGAGACTGTGTGGCACCACATGATGCACTGGTATTGTAGCTTTCAAGTTAAACCCGTTGGCTTAAATCCATTCTACCATTGACCTTTCAACTGTCTCAAATCTCTCTTCAGCCTTTAACCTAGGCTCAATTAATTTCATTACCGCGTAATTATCCTTCAAATCTATATAAATCTATATTTCTCTGACAAGTATCACCGTATCAATCACAAAAATATTCAAATATCGCGCGTTTTTTACATATTATTTATGTGAGCCCTCAGGCACTTAGATGATTGCCACCGTCTCGTCTACATTTTATCCCGCAGTCTGTTTTTATTTTTAACTCCTCTCGCCTTATCATTTTTTCGCTGGCTCCACCTCTTTAATGTCCATTCCCTTCCACCAAGATTTATTCGTGAATTTTTCGCCGACTTTTTTTCACTTTGCGTAAATTGTCTGACCGGTGAGTTAGTTTATTCACTTGGTTCGGGTTTGTGCGAGCGAAGGGCACGAGCACAAATCGCCAATAATTTAAAAATCGCCGGATTGTGGTTACAGATGGAAAATGGAAATAAATCCAATAGTAGTGGAAATTAAATATTGCTAGAATGGGTTTTCCACTTGTGCTGGGGGCAGATGGGTTAAAAATTCAGCGAAAATTTAATTTATAGCCCCAATTTTTTCAGCTTTATTTCCGGAATTCAATTTTTTATATCCATCGCGGAAAAATTAATTATTCTTTAGGGGCTAATTTTTTTTCAACTTTCATCTCAATTTCCCCGTGTAGTAATTAATTAATCTCGTTTTGATAATTCTGAATTTAATCATTCCGCGTGATTAATTACTCATTCTTAAAAAAAACAATAGAAATCAGTGCTATAATGCTAATTCAATGAAATTTATCAAATAAAAAAGAAACATTTGCAAGAATTATAAAAAAAAAGAAAATAACACCGATGACGTACTCCGAAAATTTTTTCTCGTGTGTGATAAATGGGTAAGACAGATGGGTCATACACCCGAGTGGTAATTAATCACTTCTATTGATGAGAGATAAGTGCGAGGAATTAGTGTAGGCGGGGGGTAGTGAGGGAGAGGGATAAAAAGTGAAATTCAAGAGAATTGGCGACTGCGCGGTGGATATCACCCCTCCGCAGACGTTTGGTGGGTGGTGGAGGGTGAAAATAGGCACTAGATATACCCTGTGTTTCATTTTGGTGTTCAGTCGTGATGCCGGTTGTGTACTATCGTGACGTTGATTATCACGAGCTCGATCGGTGAATCAAGTGTTACGGATATGAAGTCCGCGTGGATGATTATCACTCTGACTATCGCTCGATGTGCATTTACGGAGATTCCACCGACTTCCGGTGAGTGAATAATTCATCATCAATTGATCAGGGATTTTTCACTGATAAATAAAAATTCTCCTCGTCGAAAAAAAAATCACTTCCTTCATTGAAAAATTAAAAAAAAATCATGGATAGCTGTCGATTTTCAAAAAATAGTCGAATTTTTATAATTTCTGGAAAAATTTTTAATTATCGAATGACGAATTAATTTGAGACGAGAATTTCTCTAATAGCTATTATATGGATTTATGAAATGATTGACTGAATTGTTTAATGAAAAATCTTCGTAGAGAATCTCTCGATTTGGGGCTTTCCATTTTTCCTGTAGATTTTCGCGTGTATCTTTTAATCAGGATCGTGTGCACAAGGATTTGCCGTTTGATTGTCGGAGATCGATGAATCGTATTCAGTTCCGTGTCCGACGTGAAATCAAAGCCTCCCAATGGACTACTCGTATTCCATGTAAATTATACTCATGGGACACGCAATTAAGCCCCGGGATTACCGTGCGTCACGCTTATTTCTCTCGTTTCTCGTTGGTCATCCTCATCGTCCACCCCCTGTCCACCCTTTCTACCTCTCAATTCCCGGGAAAAAAAAAAACGACTCACTCAAGTCCCGGAGGACTTGTTTGGTTACCAATGAATTTTTCTGATTTTTCATTTCTGCTTCGCGGAAAGAAGAAATTCAATAAAATTTACGTGCAATTTTTTTTTTAATTTTTCTTTCAATCTATCAAATAGGAATGTACATGGAGAGAAAAATACGGGAAAAAATACGTGACTAGTCAGGCGGTGGGTGGAGGGAAGATATCGGTTAGTGTTTATACTCTCAGAGAGACCCTAACGAGTTTGGCCTTCTTTCCTAGGTTATCCTATTTTAACCTCGAGTCTACTTTTACACGGAGATAAAGTCTTTATCAAAATTTCAGGGCTTGCTCTAGAAAAATCACAATCTATCGGGTATGAAAAATTTTAGTGGTATTTGAGGAAAATTTCAAGGAATTTGTATAGAAATTTTTATTTCAAGCGAGAAAGATAAATTGTGTAGAAAATTTCAAGCGGTATCGGAAAATAATCTCGTATGAATACCCGAAGGGAAAATTTTTGAGAAAATGGTATTTTATATACTCTCGTGGAATTTCGGAAAAATTTCAACTAAGATTGCTGAGAATTTAATTTCTCCAGTGCAGTCGAAAAAAAATAATACATTTATTCGTTGCAAGTTTTTTGTCATGGTGTACAGAGAAAATCAAATTGTCAGAGAAAGTTCAGTAGAAATTTTCAGGATAGGAAATTGAGGTCGATTTCGGGGACAACCCATGAGATTTCAGTTTCCCTCGAAATTCACGGAAATTCAAAATTTCCTTGAGAGACTAACTCCCCTGAATTTCCAATCATGAATATTCAATACACCATTACTGAATTTTCCCTCTCCTCATTGCAATGAAGTAATTGATGCGGGAATTACAATATCCATCGGTTCAAACATCAAAATTAATTCAAAACAAAGGAATCTACTGAAGCGATTAGAAATCCCAACATTCCGTGTGTGAATATTCCTGAATTATTGACACACCATTTTGAATTAATTGCGTTCACAATCCCAAAAAAATTTTATTCAAATCTACTATATTTTATTCTGAAGGAGAATTTTATTTTCCACTTTTCTGTCAAGTATACAATATAATAAATTCAGGAATTTTTAGTTTCACTCCGCTGGTGGTGCACCGCAATTTTTCT